TAGTAGCAAGGCCAGGAGCCCCTAGTAGCGTCCTTGCTCCTAGTAGCCATTCTAGGAGTGTAGGGTTCTTTTTGGAAGCCCACGAGCCACCGTGCCCGACGGTGCCCGACGTTTTAAGACTCAGCGACGCCGCCGCTGAAGGCCATTTGCCGCGAGAGAGAGCACCTTGAAGGGTGGAGCATGTGCGGCTCACGGCTCAGAGGTCTAAGATTTAGAAGGAAGAGAAAGGAAAGGAACAGCCTAAAGGTTCGAAGAAAAGAGCAAACAAGCAGAAACACGTAGTTCTTCCATGTTAGTCCGTGAAGCAAAACACAAGCACATTGAAACCGTTTCAGTCATGGACCCACCCTTGAAACGTATTGGAATACTGGATGTGGGCAGCAATCTGAGTGGAGTAGGCTATTCAACAGCGTCAAAAGAAGCTGACTTCGTACGTAAAACGTGGCTGACCAACTTCAAACATGTTCATGTTCTGTTCACCTGCGCAATCCATCGTCGCCTCAATCCATCGCGCAAAAGCTAGCCATCCCGTTGTTTGGGCCAAAGCATGTGGCAGTTGGGAGGGTTCGCCAAGGGAATGCGGATCATCAGGCCACAGCTTGGCCAAGGGAGTACTATGGGGATGTTTGGCTCCCAAGAGGATCCTGCAAGCACCGAAACACTTGTCCTGGTTACTAGTAGTAGGGCCAGGAGCCCCTAGTAGCCTCCTCTAGCTACTAGTATAGTGATGCCAGGAGCTACTAGTAGCGTTTTCTAGCTACTAGTAGCGATGGCCTTTGTTACTAGTAGCGTCCTCTTGCTCCTAGTAGTGATGCCAGGAGACCCTAGTAGCGTCCTCTTGCTCCTAGTAGGTTAGAGGCCATCGCTATCTGCACCACACATTTTACAAGATCGCAACCGAAGGGTGTCATCTGAATCATCCTGCAGATTCGAAGGGTTCTGACCGTCCGGGGAAATAACAACAGCTCGCGAAAGGAGGCGCGACACCTGGTCTTCAAAATCCCAAGTATCAAGTATGTTACTCGTCGAAACAACTGAACTCGGGGGTGTCTGGATGAATCTGAATCCACTGTGTGCCAACACACAAAGATTCGGATTGAAACACATTGCATTTGCACAACTGCACCAACTGCACCTCTTTTGGACGTGCATGGGCGGTCATGGCGCGGCTGCTGAACTCTAGTGAACTCCAGAACTCTACTGCTGAACGAAAGTTTTCTTCCGCTTCTTTTCTGTAAATTACCTCCAACACAAGGAAACCTCCGCCGCCCTCAGAGATTCGGCTCAAACTGGCTCAGTGCAGAAGACGTTCCTGGAGCTCTGCGTCCAACACTTCCAGCCCTTTTCGGGACTTTGGCCTCGGTCGTCCACCCGAAGCTTCTGTGAAACAAAACTCGGAAATAAACACAAAGGACAGAGCTTGGATGATATGAAAAGCAATTCTTGCCATCCCTGAGACTTACTATCGACTATTAGGTTGGAGGCCATCGCTAGTAATTGGGTTGGAGGCCATCGCCAGCAGGTTGGAGGCCATCGCTATTAGGTTCCCTTTACATCCAAGCTGCAGCTTTCACCACCACACTTGGAGGGATTACCTCAGTGTTCGAACCGATCTTGGGCGACCAAAGGGATGTTCTGAATACACCGAACGATAAGGCAAACACCGAAAGAAGCAAAAGAGATGAGTGAGAAGCAGCGTGAAAAGAAGAACCGACTGAGCCTTCTAAAGGCTGCTTAACGACAGCAGAACCTCTGCTTGACTGGCACGACTTAGTGCAGCGACTGAAACCGTGGTGTCTTTCAGCTTCAAAACACGGATGCCTCGCACCTCACAACCGACCTATTGGGTTGGTCACCGGTGAACGATCGTTCGTCCCTGGACCTGAGAATCTTTCAAGGCTTGGCAGAAATACATTAGAAACAAGGGCATCGCTACTAGTAACAAGTGCCTTACTACTAGTAATAAGAAGCTAGTAGAAACAATATATAAATATGACGAGCGATACATGCACCGCTCTTAAGTAGGTTGGAGGCCATCGCTACTACAACTTCTTTTTCTTGCCACAAGTAAGGGTCATCCATTGGCGTACTGCGCATCCCTGGAGCTCCGACGCCGTCTCCGACTACCCGACTGAGAGCACTGCTGAAATCCTCTTCTGAAACCATGGACAGGGTTTGACATTTGCGGACATTTGTGTTTGTAAGAAGGATGGTCGTAGAGGGGAGGTCCTTGATCTTCAAATTCACCTTTGCGTCAGCTTCTTTCTTATTGGTGCAGTTGGTAACCCATGGATAAAAACACTCACGTGCCATCAACCGTCCTAAAGCTGGTGAGTTAGTTGCTGCTTCCCTTTAGACTTCGTTCAGGAAGAATTCAACCGTTTCACCTTCGCGGGGCGGGGCACCGACCCAGATCTTTCACCGAGCAGCGTATTGGATCGGATCCCTCCTTGCACTTGTTGCGGGTGATCCCCATCGTTTTGACTTTCTCGCAAGCGCAGCAAGCAACTGGGCGAGGACCCGGCGAGGGGCACGCAAAACTGATGCTTTTGCGTCAAAGCAATGACTCCTTCGACCAAAATAGAAAGGTAAGTTCAGGTCCGATCTAGGAAGTCTGCACATGGCGACTTCGGAGTTTTCTAGATTGTTTCTAATTTGTTTCATTGTTTTTGTTCGGCTCTTAGGTTGGAGGCCATCGCTATTAGGTTTTCTTTTTGACTTTTTTCTTTATAGACCATGGGATAACTCCTTCTTGGTGCATGCTATTCAGGTCGAGCTGGGAGCCTCCTGTTGATTCGTATTCGCATCATGTTAGATCATCGGAACGTGCACACAACGTGATTTTGGTCTATCAGTCGGTGCAGGATTTTGTCCGCGTGAATGCTAGGCGAGTGCCCAACCTGTCTAAGGCAAAATAACACTTGGAATGCTGAGGCACAGGTTGGCATTGAGACACAGCTTCAGAAAGTCTTTCGCTCCACAGCTGGAGCGAAGAAGCGTATGGGATCTTTGTCGGAGGCACTCCCTTTTGGCACGTCATATCAGGTCCAACGTGTGAATAAGGACGTGATGTTCTCCCTCCACCCCTCCCAGCTTTTCAGATTAGGCACGTCCAGGACCTGCCGGAGAGGAAGCGGATGGTCCAGATATGTCCAGATGGTTTGCGAATGGTCAGGTGTTGGCTTTGGATTATGTCATTTGTCGACTTCGGTTTTGGAATCTCATCAGGTAGTGGAAAAGCAGCAAGAATGGGTTCTCCAACACGTAACATGGACAAACACTGAAACCATCAAAAGGTGTGGACACTTTTGCATGCTTGGAAGTGGGAAGGCGTTCCAAGCTGGAACATCCTGGAACTTATTGGCAATGGCCATGAAGGTGTCGCGATCACTGTGCTCCCAAGGGTTCATGGCATGGAGAGGCCAAACATACACACGGATTGTCCGGTAACCTGTGAGTATGTTTCTCAAACATGAGCTACATGCAATATTTCTAAAATGCGGGCTGTATTCCTTTTCAAATTTGACCATCCCCTATCATCATTTTCCAAGGTTTAGCACTCTGCAAGACAAACATGTTCATGGATCGTTTTGCATCTGTCTCAAATACTCATTCCTGTGAGGCAAAGCCCCTTGTGCCATGCAAAACCCACGGTTTTGCTGTCGCCTTCAGCCTCATCATGAGTCTGCTTGGACTCGAGAAGCGCCTGACCCATCGAACTAACTCGAGTCGCAGAATTGACTCCCAACATCCAACGAACTTTCGTTCGAGAGCACCGTCGCAAAAAACGCGCCCATGCTCTCGCTGTTTCCTTTATTTTTTCGAGTCACGTGTTTTTCTTCGTTTCGGATTAAAAGACACACACACTCCCATGGCCTCAGTGAGGTGGTCATGTTCAGGGCGAAGAGCTGAAACCGTCACGAAGGCAAGAAGCGCCAAGCACTTCCTCGGGGCGACGCGGGGCGACGCGGCACGTGTGAACGTGTTCGAAAGGTTATTGGTGGAGACACACGTGTCTAAAGATGTCTCTGTTCGAGCAACTGGGTCTTCATCTTAGTTAAGAGCCAGTATTTTTGTACTGGCTCAGCTCTCAGTTGATAGTCGGAGACTGGCGGCCAACTCCTATATTGGCCGGGTGTGAAGGGACCTTACAGGAACTGCGAATACACGGTCCAAGATTCTTCGGGTCACGTGGTTCACAAGCGTCCAGGGGAGTGGCGTCTTGCACGCACGTCCTACATATATGGGAGCTATCCCAACTTCTTTCCTATCACTTTCTATTAGGTTGGATTCTATTAGGCTGGAGGCCACCGCTATTTTTGTTACATGCAAAACAATTGCACCAAACAGCAAGATACCTCTTTCCCTTGCACGAGGCCGAGCGTCATATTATCCACAATCTCTGGAATTGAAAGTCGACGAGTCAGCTATTGAGCCAAGGGAAGCTGGACATGAGATGTTGGAGGGTGGATCTGGGCTCTGAATACACATGTACCTTGCGGCTACTCAAAGATCTGGAAGAAGGACCCTCATAGATATTGACGGACATGTGAGAAAAACCTTACCTTACCCTAAGAGACCTAAGGCAAACCTTTTGATCCTTGGGACTGTGGGATGTTTGAAAAGGAACCCTTTCGAAACAGTGCAGGAAGCTCGTTCAATTCGATTGCTTAGTCAATGTGTTTGTTGTGTTTGGGGATACTACACTGTGGGACACTCTTCAAATTTGGGTGGCTTCGGCTTGCAAGACAGGGGAACCGCAGACCACAAGGACCCAAAGTCGCAAACCGAGAACCTTCACCAGGTCGCACATTCAATCCTTGGTTCCTAGACTTATAGAACAACATATTTTAAGAAAAAACTTCAAGGAACCTAAGAGCGATGACTTCTTAGAAGGACCCCCCCAACCGTGGTTCATAGTGGTTCTCTTGGGTTCTGCACGTTGAATCCGGCCGCATCTTTTCCACCCCAGCGATCGATGCGCAGCAGACCTGAGGCATGCCCGCGGTACCCGGTAACATGCCCGCAGCTGCCTTGTCTTTTCTTCCCAAGCAGATCTTTTGATTTCGGGGTTCTCAACTCCTGCATCTTCCTGGGCCAAGATGATTTCTGGCCTTTTGTCTCCTTTTGTCTTCCCTTGTCCCCTGTGTCTCCCATGGCGGGCTGAGATGATTCTGCTTTGTCTCCCTTTGTTTCTCGTGGCTCTTGACCCGGCTTGACCGGTATGCTTTTGGCTCTTGGGGCTGGGAATGCCAAATTTGCACAAATAGACATCAAACTGGCTCGATGCGGGTGTAAAATGTTTGGGACACCCTGGAGCAGAAATCGAACCTCCAAAAACGGTTACTAGGAAGACCAATTCTCGACTTCTGCAAGGTTGTCAATGGGGGACAGCGTCTGACCACGGCGAGGCGCCAGCACACGCCTAGCAGCTCCGTCAGAAGAAGAGCCGAAGACGTTCCTTGGTAGCCATGGAACAACTAGGAGCGATCGGAACAAGAAACTACTCACAAATACTCAACTTTCGCTATTGGGGGTTGAGACGACTTGGTGCCAGGTGGCAATGCCATGGGGCAAACTAGCAAACTCATTGGATTTGGTCCGTTTCAGCAATGCCTGGTGACCAAGGTTCCGGTTTTTGGCCGCTAAGTTCTTTTGTAAAGGAATTGGTACTGCCCCTTCTATTTGTTCCTCTTGATGACAGTCCTTCGCTTTGAGCCACACTAGGCCCTTTTTCGGGAACGACTAGTACATAAATGGCACAGCGCAGCATAGCAGCTGTAAATGGGACAGCTTTAAACAATTTTCTTGATCAGCTCTCAAAGAAAAAACAACATGTTTGCTTTTCCTGATGAATTGTCCCGGGACCTTCTGTTTACACTTGTCTAACACTTCAAATCAGATCAGTTCATTCCACTCGCCCAAGTAAACGTGATCAACCAAGTGATGATTTCACGTGTGATCAGGTCCATGTCTTGCTAAGCGGAGTTTTTGTCTGGCTTGACCTTCACTTACCCAACGATCCCCGCTCCATCCCACTTTCAAGCTATTAGGAGGCCATCGCTAGTAGTCTTCTTGCTACTACCTGATGACAACCGTTCCCACATCCTCTAACTGGAACGTTCTCGTACCGCTCCAGCTCCCCAAGTCTCGATGACCGGATCTGCATCGTAGGCCTCGGGACTCCATTCGGTGATGCGTCGGCATGTCGGGCGGGTGTTGAGGCCCAGCGAGGCCTTGTTGATGTGTGGGATTACGTGTTCTTTGCTTGACCCGCCCTTACTTAATGAAGGGAGGCGCGTACTTAATTAAGGGTGTTGTTCGGATCGGAATCTTAAGGTCAGATCGGAACCGCAGGAACGATGGGCGCATCCTTATCATCCCCAAATCACCGCTCGAGTGATCTGCACTTCAAACTGAAAAGATTGATCTTTTCCAGCGCAGTTGGACCAGCTACTGGGCGCAGGGTAGCTCACGCTATTCATGTGGTTCCTAGATTCACTTCTAAAAAGAAGGAACCACTGGATAACTTGGTCCTGCAGGGGTCACAGGCTACCTTGGAGATCACTAGGGTACAAGTACCCAGTAGCTTTAGCATAGCAATGATGATTCCGACAGAAAGGAACAAAGAAAGAGCATGAAAAGGTCTAATTGTCAAACGAAAGAGACATCAGAAGTCACAAACAGTTCATAAAGAACACCAAAGAACGTAGAACGCTATGCTACCAGTAACTGGCTGTCCTTTGTGCTACCCAAGGTCAAATGCATGCTTCATCCCAAACGACAAACACCTCTCGATCTGAACCCAAACTTCAAAACTGCTACACATTTTGCAAGTGAAGCTTTCTTGTGTTTTACACCTCGAAACCTTCCAAAACCTGTCTGCGTGGCGCGACAGTGGAGTTGGGCGACATCAACGCTCGTGGCCCAAGGTACCGAAATGCCCTGCACAAAGATACCAGTGCCTGTGCCAGCGCCACGCAGAATCGGCGGCGAACGGGCCCCTTGTCATCCCACCACGGAAGCAAAGATCGATGCCGGATGCCAGAGGTGATGAAAGTTGCACAAGTTTAGCATTTAGAGCAAGGACGCTACGAACGGGGCTCCTGGCATCGCTACTAGGAACAAGGAAGCTACGAACGGAGCAAAGGGCATCGCTACGAACGGAGTAAAGAACGCTACGAACGTTTAGCATTTCGCCTATGGTTGAGATCGACGCTCCAGGTCTTGCGCTACGTCCGCGTCTCCATGTGGTGCTTGCCGACCGCTCGGGAACCGACGCGACCACGACCCAGCTGCCTCCAGCGAGCACAAGGAGAGAGATCGGATGATTGAACTCCGCCAGGATCGCACAAAGGAAGCCGATGATGTAGTGATGGAGGTGGACATAAACACCCGCGGTGTTGGCCCTCAGATTCTCGCTAAAAGTGAACATTCCGTGGAAAACCTTAGGACCCCTCCTATAGGCCCTGGCTGCCAGGTCTCAGCTACTTGCGAACAATCCTGTTCACCTTGATCTTCAGTCACTAGCCACAGGCTAATCCCTTGCATGCCAACTCCACAGCACACCCGCCGCGACTCCGGGTCCGATTTCACTTGACTTGGGGGGTACAAAGCACCAAACAGTTGTGAACACCATGGGACTGGTTTTTGATGGACATGAAACAACGCCCATGATCATGGAAATCACATCCATCCATGGCCTAAAGTTCCAACCAAACAACACCTTGAGAAAGGACACCCCAAACCTGACCTGCACAACTTACGAGGAAGTGTTCTTCCGAGCAAATGCTTTACAAGTGTCGCCACATAGAGGTAAAGGGCATAGAATATCCAGATGGCCAAGCGGCTGCAGGTATAGGCGAGGAAGCCTCCCAACGCCGAACGCCGTGCAATTCGCTTCGGGGGAGGTGAAGAGCGCCGAACGCCGTGGCATGTGCGTTCCAAAGGCCCAACGAGTCGACTCGGGTGTGGGTGGAAAGCCGCAGGGCGGCGCTCGGACACGGTCCCAACGTGTCGTTGCTGGAACGAAGCAACTCAGTTAGTGAAAAAGACAACACTTCTCTCCACTAACTGAAGAAGCTGACCCAAAGGTGAGCTTTGCTTGCAGTGGCATTTGGGAGACAATGGAAAGCGTTCAGAGTTCTGGCACACTCGCACTGACACGGATCAGCTCACCAAACAAGTGATTGGTGCAGTCATGAGTTGATGGCCCAAGCCCTAAGTCTAGTAAGTGATTGTAACCCGGGGAAATGAGGGGCCTCTGAAATCTCTGAGGCCAGCGCTGCCTTGCGCACGCTCGCACGCTCCATGTCTACTCTGACCGTCTCTCCTTCGTGACTTTGATTCCCCTTTGCGACCCGAAAGCACGAAGGCCTTATTGAAGCCTCTCACTGCCTTTTTTTGACTTCTCACAGGCCTGACATGGCCTGACCATCCGCCCCTTACACAAGTCCGAACAAAAGACACCCCTGATGTCCTGGACGCGCCGACGCGCCTGAGAGTGGATTATGACGATAAGCACAGTAGAAATGCCAACCGAGGAGGAAGACGGCGAAAGCTCCCACACCAACTCCTGAGTTCACTCTGAGTGAGACGATCCTTCAGGGATGGGACGTCCCTTTTTGGACTACGAAGAGCTCGTTGAAACATGTGGGACAGGCCGTTCGAAGCAAAACGCTTGGTTGCTCACCACCACTGACGATAGAACCCCCACAAAATGCTTAATTGGTTGCTCACTTTGGCGAGTCTTTACACTCCTTCTGGGAGATGAACCCTCGACCGCCTTGACCAGGCATTCCTTGTATCATCTTGTATCTCTAGAGTGGACGTGCACATGGCCACTTGTAAAATCAAGTGCGGGAGTGAACAAGAAGCAACAAGAAGCTACTAGGAGCAAAGGGCATCGCTACTAGGAGCAAGGACGCTACTAGCTCCTGGCCTTTCTACTATATAGGAACAAGAAGCTACTAGGAGCAAAGGGCATCTACTAGAAGCTACAAGAAATTCAAAATCCACTCCACCGATTCTCCCAACGATCGCCAAACGCCAAGAAGCAACGAAAAGGAAGAGGGCTTGTCACTGGTTGGTTGCCAGCGTATCATCTCCCCGGCAGTATGAACTTCAAGCTCCACCCTTCATGGCAACCACCCCTCCCAAAACAATCTGTGCCAGCACCAGCACAGTTTGCAGCCAGGACACCAATCAAGCAGTTCACCACACTTTTTTTGAAGAAATCGGTGGTGAAGGAGATCCTGGTGAAACACAAGTTGAGGAGTGGGATGGAGTGCCCCTACCCACAACCAGAACCATGCAGTACCCAGAGAAAAAAGAACGAAATGATTATGACATGATCACTAACAGAACGAACCAAATCACAGTCCACCTAACTTGAGGCCGGGGGCTTTGGTGACGAAAGCTAGCATGGTGGATGCGCGGCATGATGTGAAACATGGTCCCGAAACGGATGCTACTATTTCCTTTTCCTGTCTCCCTTTTCCTTTCTTTCTTCCCCTAGTAGGTTGGAGGCCATCGCAACTACTAGTAGGTTCATTCCTTTTCTTTCTCTTCCGACACCTCATCCACCCCGTCGCCCGTTCGCTGTCCTCGAGAGCACTTCGATGTGATCCAAGGAGCCCCAAGCCTCGCGTCGCGTCGAAGTGGACCGATCCGACGCGTCGAGTCACCCGTCTTGGAGCGATCCGACACGAGTCTCTCGATCGACTCATCGTTTTGGGTTCTTCTTTTCGTGTTTTGCTTCTTTTTTGTCTTTGAGGGGCGGGAGTATCTTTAAGTGTATAGTAAGATGGACCGTATCTTCATTGCTGAGGTCAGAGGTCGCACAATTCAACCATTGAGATAGGTGAATCAGTAGCCTGGGACTCACCCAGGTGCGCTCTTTTCGCGTAGTGAGGTTGCTGTCAATCATCCCCTTCGCGCCAAAATGAACAGCACATCCAACAAATCCAACGCGCAACAAAACAACAACGCATGAAAACCACAAACAAAAGGATAAATCATGGTAAATCTTAACTATAAAAACAACACCAATGGATTGGTCTCTTGCAGCTATCATTGACTACTCCGTCGGCCTACAGACCATTCTTTTTTGATTTATCTCCTCGATTGGATACCTGTCCAATGTTGGTTGATGCCAAAGGGATTCTTGCTGCAGGACGCCGCAGCACTGTGGTCCATGTCAATTGCTCTCCGTCGATCGAAGGTGTGCCCAAGGAACGGGCCCGATGAGCAGCATCACAGCCAGAAAGACCCAGCCCCGTGGCTTGGGACGGCTGAAGCAGAAAAGGTAAGCAAACCTCGGTCGAGTCTACGTGACTAGTAACGGCATCGCTAGCTAGTAGCTACTAGTAACAAGTGCATTGCTACTAGTAACAAGGGCACAAGCAAAAAAGGCAAGCAGAAGTGGGCGACACAAACACGAAGACATGAAGACAAACAGCATGGTGTTTGGAAGATCGCTCACATCTTTAGGAAGCTCTAAAGAGTATAATATACATATTGCCAAACAGTGTTTCTTCTACCCAGCAATACTGCAAAACCAGGTTGAACATGATCTCGACCCCGACTGTGATGATTCCGAACAGAACTAGATCATGGGAAGCCGACTAGACACAAAACAAACCAAGCACAAAGGGCTCTGAAACCGGCCTCAAAGCAAAAACAAGCAGGAATCAAAAACATGGGTGTGCTGCAATCTAGGACCGAGGGTGGGTGAACAGGCAAAGAGATTCAACCAACTCAACATCCACATGAACTAGGTCGTCCTTGTCACTCCCATTGCCATAGTGGCAAAAGGATGTCACCTGTCATCACTTGTCATCACCTGTCATCACCTGTCACCCTCGAGCTATCTACAACCGCTTCCAGAATGCTCATACTTTCAGCATCCAAAAGTCTTGAGAGCCATGGCGCCTGCCATGGCGCTCGTGGCCAATGTTCAGCACCGGAACTGATGTGGGATATATATATATATAAATACAACACCACGGAATCCAATTCATGTGAGAATCACAACAACTCAGTTGGAAGTTCTGTGTTCCATGTTTTCGGGCTGGTTCATGATCCCTTTTCCAAAATTCCCTCGAATCCCAACGTCGAGTCCCCCATCACCCAGGACGTCATGGCACCGATCGGGCATGTGGACACCCGTGAGGATGGCTAACATGAAGCCCATAACAAACCTGTCCAAGGACGACCCACGCTGGACGAAGCCACGAAGCGGTAAACAAATACCACAAAGCCTGGTGGCGTTTTCGAGTTTTCCTCTTTTTCGCTGGCCACACATGTGCCTTTCTGTGGGGTCTCTGCCTTTCTGCTTCGTTACTTCCACCAGGACAGGGCGGACTAGGGGCGCCTCCTGGCCTTACTAGGAGCGATCCGACGCTACGAAGGGAACAAAGGGTATCCCTACTATAGTAACAAAGGGCAATGCTGCTGCAATCTGAAGACATCGGATTTCTCGACCACTTTACAGCAAGTTGCAAGTGGTGTTGGCAAGTGCCCATGACTTCTCAGGTTCATCAGTCGCAGTCGTGAGTCGTCTTCAATGCTACAACCCTCCGATATCCTGGCCCGTTTGTCCCTGCAATTCCTTGCTAATGTGCGGTCGATACAAATCATCCATTACATCATCTGTAAGCCACACCGGTTATGCGCTAGTGCATGGTCCACCATATTTGGAAGTGGAGGGCAAAAGCATGTCCGACACTTGGACAGCAAGGTCCTTGGGTGCCCACTCCCCATGTGCTACACCGACGGCAAAAGCCCTGTGAACTACACCGCTCATGGGCACATTCGACCGCCATTGCATCAGAAGGCACATCACTTGGAAGTCATACATCACTTCCAACAAGCTGCTGTCAGGATGGCAATCCCGTGGAATCTGCAACCTTAAGTAGAGCGACTGTTCGGATGACGACGGCAAACATGTATGGACGGAGAAGAATCCGAAAATCCACAAATCAACGGATATCTTTTGTTTTCATCCTTCAAACTCCCAGCGGCTGGCACACAACTCGAACCACACAGTACTGGATCAGCAGCAGGACAAACCACACAGCCAGGGCTCCATACTGCCTTGCTCACGAACCGTGCAGCTTGTGCGGAAGGCTAGTTGAGGAGAAGTATAGTGCCAAGTCTGGGACAGAAGCCCTTGCAGTACTTAGATGTCAACAATTAAGCGATCAAGAACCCTGGTTTCATGATTACTTCCTCTGACTGGACCTCGTATGTTTCTTGGGTACTTTCACCCAAACCACTTGCAGTTCACAGTGCTTTTATCATTGTCCTCCCAGTTCCAACCGGTGCCTACAACTATCCGATACTATCCCCACTGAAAGTATTGACTAACAAAAGACGACCACTCCCCGTTGTGAAAGAAGAAAGACGACCGTGCCCCAAAACGACGACCGTCGGGGGGTGCCATCGACAACGAGGTGTCCCTCCGGCTTCACGACTTGCGTCCCTCTGGCTATTTGCTAAGAAGCTTCAAAGACCTACTAAAAAACTTCTTGTTACTAGTAGTTTCAAAGACCTACTAAAAACGTTCTTGTTCCTAGTAGTAAGGCCAGGAGCTACTAGTAGCATCCTTTTGCTCCTAGTAGCGATGCCCTTTGTTCCTAGTAGCGTCCTTGCCCCTACCCCCCCCCGCGGGCGCGCGCGCTCACGCGCGAGAAGGTCCTAGTAGCTTCTTGTGTTTATTATTAATATTAATTCTAATATAATAGCACTTAATACTAACTATTTTTTGTTTTTAATAGCAAACATTGTTCCTAGTAGCAAGGCCAGGAGCCCCTAGTAGCGTCCTCTTGTTCCCAGGTGCTTCCATGGGATGCGATGGCCATGACGGCCCTGGTGCGTGAAGTCCAGAAAGCCCTGAGCCTCGCTTTCTCGTGAGAAGGGCAACTTGGGCAGGCCCGTCAAGCGAGGGATTGGGCGCATGGTAAATGGTGCTTCCAAAATGTTTTAGATCAGTGATGGAACGAGTCCCTACTAGTAACGAGAAGCTACTAGGAGCAAAGGGCATCGCTACTAGTAGCAAGGACGCTACTAGGGGCGCTCCTGGCCTTACTGCTAGGAACAAGAAGCTACGAACGGAACGAGTACACCACTTGGTTTTCATTGATTTTTTTTGATGTCGCTTCCTGTCTCCGCTCAAGGCTGGACGACTGAGCAGTCTCTGCTCATTCCTTCCCCAACAACCAAAGGACACCAGAGACTGCAGTGGCTTTGCCAAAGAAAGCCTCCAAGACAAACCAAACCAGTCAAATTAGCTTGGGAGCTGAGCATTCATTGGTTCCATATGGTTTCATGCTTCAATCATGTTGGACATCGAAATCCTACGAAGCGAAACATTTGGAGACGAGAATCTCCGTCCTGTGTGGTTTGGAACACCCGTCCGTGTGGCTTTTGTCGGTTCTTTCATGTGGATCACGGTCACTTGAATAAACCAAATGAGGAGACTTCATGAACACGACACTTGTGAAGATCACATTTGCCTCTGCCCCGAAAGTGCTTTCCAGAGTAGGGATTCATTTGGAAGCTAGGAAGCTACATCAATCTTTGCGAGTAACATAAAACATTATACACAACTTTACCTGATTGTTGCATCTTCATGTGACAATCAGTCAAGGGCACACACACACATGCACATGAATTATTTGATCATTGCAGAGCCCACGTCACTTAGCTCAACCCCCTTCACGACTTTCTGTCACAAACTACGGCGGAACGAAGGCCACTTGGAATCACTTGGAGCCGGACGTCATCATATGGCTCCTTGAGGCGTCCGAGCGATCGCACGCTGACCAACGTCCATCCCATGTTCCCATGAAGCCTCCTTTTCCGCCCAAAAGGCAAAGGAGAAAGACGTAGACCATCACCCATGTTTCTTCCATGAACTCGTTGCAGCCCGGCCATGTTTTGGTCTTCCTTCTGCTTTCGACCCGTCTGACACCGCACCTGTTCCACCGAGAAGGGCGTCCGGCTGGCGCGGCTTCGAACGGCCGCAGCCATGAGCAGCGATGCATGGAGAGCCGTGGCAGCTCCTTTTTGGGGATTCGTGGCACTAGATCATCGGCACAAATGGGTCCGTTTGGGTGTAAAATCTGGACCAAGTTTTTAGGCACCTGCTTGGGGATTCTTGAGCCAAGGGAGACCAAGACTGACGGTGCTCCAAACCCCATGGCATGGTGCTTTCTTTTTGTTCCTTTTGATTTTTTATTGCAACCTTTTGATTGTCCCTTCCTTCCTTTCTTTCCTCTGTTCCGAATTTCAGGATGGCACACAGTATGAGGTGGCTTGGATCCTCTGAATTGATCACATGGTCCTTCCTGCGTTCAGTCTTTGGAAGAGTTGTGACGGGTTGTCAGCTGACCTCTGACCCGGGCTGCGGAATGCATGAATTCGAACCAAGCATCCCACGATCTTTTTCGAAAGACGCGAAGAACCGTAGACGTGAAGATCTCACAAACACTGTGCTGTCAAGCTCCTAATCATCACCTGCGCAGGACGAGAGATGAACCAGCCCAACAAACACTGACACTCGCTGAGGACGTACATTCACGTGGACATACCCACCGGCAAGAGATGTGAGTGGGATCAAGCATGCACTTCAACCAAAAGAAACCCGCAAAAAAAAGGACCCCCCCCGGAAAAGAAACATTCCAAACTAGGTCCAACATCTAAAGAACGGACACTATCCAAACTCATAAACGTTGCCTGGACCATCACAGGGGACCATCTGCAACACTACTCGCCCCGCTCAGCGGCTGCACACGGGCGCCGCTCAGCTGGTGCTTTTCCACATGCACGGGCGCAGCTCTACTCTTAGCGCGCTCGCACGCGACTGGTGGTTCGGCACCTGGGTCTTCTGGTACCCTTCGTGTTCCGATGGAAACCTTTTCGACTTTGAGCAAGCACCCTAAAGGTATTGCTTTTGATTGTATGTGTTCATGTTGCCCTAGCTGCCAGCCCTACACTAACCTGAATGAAAGTAAGGCAGTAACAGCTATGGCCTATGACTTTGAAGTGCACCTGAATTGGTTTGAAAGAATAACTGTGGGCCGTGATCTCCGCGCGGGTCGCTCACCAGGTCATGGTGGACAGCAACTTCAGCGCCGCTTTCCCTCGGGTCACTGAAGTCCAGATGTCGGCGGAGTGAAAACCAACTAAGGTGGGAGCCGGCAGCGTTGCCCTGGCGATTGTACCTCCAAACGGCAGCGTTGCCCAGGCTCATGTGTCCTGGAGGATCTCGACATGTCATCCAATTTGGGGAAGCCCGTCGACAGGTCTTTCAAAGGTCTGACCGCCTGTATTTTCAATCACCCCATCTGACCGCCACATCTCACTCTCTACACAGGTGCACACTCAAAGAACTAATGAATGGCACACCCACAGCAAAATACCGGCGGCATGATACCAGCATGGCGCACGCGCTGCGCAGCCGCTGGACGGTGAATTTCTGAAGTTCTTGGAATTGCTTCGTCCTCAGGGCCGGCTTCAGCAAGGACGCTACGTTCGGGGCTCCTGGCTTTAGTACTAGGAGCAAGGGGACGCTACGAACGTAACAAAGGGCATCGCTACGAACGGAGCGATCGGACGCTACGATCGGGGCAGCAAAAGTGCTCCGTGTCATATGGCATCAGGTGGCAGGTGTTCGCACAATTGATCAATGAGAGTTGGAGCAAGCGGTCGAGACAACCAGGTGATGTTTTGGCTTGGTTGAAGTTGCGGATGATGAATGGCGCGCCACATGAGTAGTCGTTATTTTTCACATGGCAGGGCAGGTCAGCCCTACTCCCCACGACCTGAGATCAACTTTTGCCTGTTTGCCTGACGCGCATACACCGGCATGAGGGTCACAAGCTCACACAGATCATGTTCAATCAACCATACTCTCTTTAAAACAGTGGTTCAAACATATATACAGTATATACAGTCCAAATCGCTCGGTCAACTTGAAAGACATTGAGTTCCGTTTCCCGGCCATGTTCATCGCTTGGACCAAGAGACTTTTCTCGGGCTTTGTCCTTCTCTGCTAAGGCCTGCAAGCAGCAATGGTCACTCGGAAGAGACCGGACTCCGTCTTCGCTTCAGCACCCTATGACCCCGGGTACCCGCCCAAGAGCCATCCAAGCTTCCCATGCTTGCGAGCGCAACAAGTTCTCACTTCATTCCCGTGACCTGCCCCCGAAAAACACCCGACGAGCACGTTGAACGTGACGCGCACCATGTTGCACGTGGCCAAGCCCCACAAGGCCCGAAGATTGGTCTCATCCAGGTAGGAGGCCATGCTAAAGTATCTCGGCTTTGAAGGCAAGGAACACCAGAAACAAAGGCAGTGCGGCAGGTCCAACAAACACCAACGGTCGGTCCAGTGTTTAGAGAATAGATTGTTAAAATTGTCTACATCAGGTAAAGAACTCCTGTCATGCAAACGCTGGATGGAGGAAGCAGAAATGACAAGGGTTTCTTTGGTCTCAAAAGATCACCTGTCTCCAATACCAATCGAATCAGCCTCTGAAAGCGACCCATGACGATCCCCAACTGCCGAGCCACTTCCGGCTGGCTTCAAAGTCGCCGGTGGAGTACAGAAGCTCTGCATAGGTCAGGATGGTATACCTCAATCAGTGGCTCGTCGCGGTTGCGGCGCGGTGCGGGGCGCGATGTCGGCAGCAGAACCACACATGTTTCACCATGGATCTTGTTCAAGCCACTTGAAATCCCCTAATAAACGTGAAGAACGACTCAACATCCTGGGATCCAGCTGCTGTTTTCTCCACTTGGACTGCAACCACGCAATGCGCGTTTCGGTCAAAACATGTCACAACACAATCCAAAGGAAACCAAGCTGCATCGAGCGAGGATTGTGCACGATGAGCTCTTCGAAGCAAAAAGCTGCTCGCTGTAAATGCCCAACCTCGAGAGGCGTTTGACGTGTTTCCGGGTTTCACGTGGCTACAACGGCGATGGTCGAACCGCAGGGTGGTTTTCCAAGGTATCAAGACAAGCGGAACATGAGGACCGTGGGTCTCCGAGCACGGAAGTGAACACCAACAGGTCCGACAGGTTGACATCGGGCACTTGCTCCGTTCGTAGCGATGCCCGTTCGTAGTGTCCTTGCTCCGTTCGTAGCGTCCGATCGCTCCTAGTAGTAAGGCCAGGAGCTACTAAGAGCGTTCTTGTTACTAGCGATGCCAGGAGCCCCTAGCCTCAATGTACAATTCGCCGAGTTCATGCCAGACCTGCCAGGTACGTGAGAAGGATGAGGAGCAGGGAGAAGGATGTGCTCCAACAACATCGTGAAGGCAATCGTCGCTTTGGATCCAAACATTTCAGTCGGATGGTGGCATTCGTTGGCGAAAGCCTCTCTCTTCCAAGCAAAAACACCAGCAAAGACGTCCGATTTGTCAGATCCTATGCGGGCCAACCAAGGCCGCTGGATGCGGTTGGAACCGCCTGGGCCTCCCTCCCTGCCTCGGAGTCGGTGCTGAAGGTCTCCAGGTATTTGTTGATCGACTCGATGGCCTGGCGATGTTTTCTCGTAACAAGGGAAGGATACTAGGAGCAAAGGGCATAGCTACTAGGAGCAAGGACGCTACTAGGGGCTCCTGGCCCTACTACTAGGAACAAGAAGCTACCAGTAGCAAGGACTCTATCCGATTTCCAGGGGGCTTTCATGCCATTGCTAGCTTGTTAGGTTGGAGGCCATGGCTAGCTATTAGGTTGGAGGTCTACCCGGTTGCCTGTCCTGGTCAGCCCCTTGGAAGGTTGCGTCCTACACCTGGCTGCCCCGCTTCACCTTCCTTTCTCAGCGTGAAGGCCCAAGAGCAAACTTAGGTCACCCACTTCAAAAGACACGCAGAAAGCTGTAAGATCGAAACACTGGTCTTACTTTTTGCTAAAACCTCCTCTTTTCACACCAAAAGCTTGTTCTCACCTCCCGCCCTCACCTCTGGCACTTTGCCGCTCTGCTGCTTATACCTTGCGACGCACGGCCGGCACCGCGCCACGGTCTATTCGAGGGCGCCCCTTGGTCTGCGGGGCGAACTGGTGACCTGGGTGCTCTCGAGCGCATGGTGCACTCACAGGAGCCCAGGCCAACCCAGAAGCCAAGGGATTTGACTTGCCCTGATCAACCAGGCGTGCCCTGCAAAAGTTCACGGAATTAGCCAAAAAGCAGCAGAATAACTGCCACCGTGAGAGCAGCAGAAAACCTGCTTTCTGGCTAGATTCCTACAAAATAACTAAGGCACATTATTGCCAGGATTGCTACACGTGGAGCGTGTAGCCAAGGGTGCAAAGGACAAGGAAGAGTCAAAAGAGCAGGACAAAACAACGTAAGGGCCACGTTCATCAGGGCCTGCTAAATGGACCATCATTACAGGAGCTCAAACAACATCTGAATTCCGTTCTTTTGACATGAAGGACACCGCGGTGTCCCACCGCATGCAGTGCCATATTGGTCCAAGCTGCATCGCGATGAGGCGCTTGTGAGCCAGGGTGTCCTCGCTACTAGGAGCAAGAACGCTACCAATAGCCCCTTTCCTGACTAGTAGCACGCTACGAGGAACAAAGGCGGCCGTGACAGCCGTGTTTTGAAGCAGCGGAACCTCGAACGAAGAGCCTCGAACGAAGCCTCCGGTGCTGAGAAGGCGGAGTGTAAGGCGCAAAGAAAGCCCTTTTGTAGGTGGAGTGTAACGGTGCTGGGCTGTCATGTGAAAGTCTTCTGTGTACATCTTTACAAGTAGACCCTTGCAGGGTACCGCTTTGAACTGGAATCCGACCGGAACATGATTTAAATTGATGGGCTACTAAGCCCCAGCGAACAGCAACATACCCATTTATTGGCCCGCGTGATGCGTCAGTGACGGATGCCAGTCCTCTGGTTTGGTCGAGAGGATCTTTTGATAGATCTTCTCGGCCTCACAACAAGATCACCCGATCGGCCTCGCCCCCCAGACACATCAGCACATCAGCATACATCAGCTACTAGGGGTTGTCGGGAAAGTTTCATGTGCTTGTGAGAGATCCATTCCTTGTTCTAAGTAGCCAAGGAAACAATTGGAAGTCGGAAGGTGGTTTCATCTCGTTTTCTAGTGACACATTGGAAGTCCTTCGACGACAGAGTCTCGGTCGAGCAATCTATTACTTCGCTTCAAAAGGTCAACACAATCACATTTCGACCGCTGGCCGTCGACCATGGTGTTTCCAACGCTTTCCCGGTCTGATCGACGGTCGCGTCTGACCGCCTCCTTCCATTCTCCTTGGCATTCCTTCTCGATGCCTTCCGAGGCGGAAGGAGTGCGTGTGTTTGGGAAGTCGTGGTGCCCCAAACTCAGGCGACAGCGAAAGCACCACTCTCTCCGATGCTCGAGCGATCGATCGATGCCCGGCGAGATCGGGAGTCGGACCGGAAAGGCGGATCGATCCAGAGGTCCACCCAACGACACGCCAACGGTCGCAACGCATTCCCTATTTAAGCCCATTAAGGAAGGTGGTGGTGCAACAGCACCGAGATATGATGGACAATGCTATACTCCTTTACCTGACCAGCTTCATTGGAAGAGTTGTTACACTTGGGATTCTGCATCCTTCAAGAGACAGATCTGGACAGAAGAACAGCCCAAACCCTCCAACTGGAAACTCGACATGTCAGGTGGTGTGGTCAAACAGGCGCACAGCGTCAGCTGTGTCAGGTCGCGCCTTTCAAGCGCTCTACTCGAAGGGAGGAAGGGAAATTCCTCGTCAGCTCCTTGAGGCAATAGTCCTCTGCAGTACGCAAGATTGGACTTTGGTCAAAAGCATGAGCAAAAACCAAACAAATTCTGTAGATCGAGCCCCCTTGTCTGTCATCTACCTCTTTTCCCACCTATCTGCAAACATGTTCTTCTTGATTAACTTTCTTCGTTTACAGAGTGGCTACAAGCTGCAATTGTGCTTGTCCATTGCAATCACGCATGCCAAGTGACTTATGCCGTTTTCACCTCATACGCCCAAAGCGACAATCCCAGTGCGTTATGCATTGGTGGCATGGGGCATAACATAATTTTCAAGCACTGAACATCTATATATCCATATCTGATTTATCGCCTACCCCTGTAATTACAAACATTCACAACTGATTGAACCTCACAAACAGCATACTTGTCCTTAAAACTAGAATGGCAACCCACACGCATGCACGCGCGTGCGCGATCGCGACATTCCAAAACCCAGTCCCGCCAGTCGTCACAGCCCAACTCTGCGGCAGCCAAGAAGACTTGCTCCATGACCTGGCGACTGCTAGACGGCCATTCGGCGTTCATTCGTCCCGTTTTCGACTTCAGTTCTTCCCCTGCGACCAGACTTAGACTTAGACTTCCATCCATCTTACTAATCCTGGTGTTACAAGTGTGGTGAAGGATGCAGGAGCCGAATCGTGGAACTGCTTTCTCCTCCGGCAGAAAGTGTAGTCGACGAATTGATTTGAACAGCTTGATTCTGTGGTCAAACAAAGAGCCTTCCAAAACTGGACGGAAACCAAGTCGAAACTCACTTTAACATGTCCTCCGTATTCCGGCCCCCCCGGCCACGAAGAGTTCATTGCCGAGCCATTGGTTTCGCAGCAACTTGGAACCTGCGGAGATCTGCGGATCGCCGTTTCTTCGACGAAAGGAGCGGATCGTGCTGCGAAGAATCGAGCCGAGGGAACACATTGGTCTCCCTGCGGGTAACCCACGCTCCAACAGGTTTGAAACCCAACAGTTCTGCCAATCTGGCCTGACGCTAGGAGTCTATGTGGTGACATCAAACAAGCAAATTGCGTAAGAACCACTGCCATTCATTTCATTCGTCATGGTCATTTCACAAAAAAATGTACAGAACAACTCCGTGCCGCTTGTTTGGACCGCGTCTTTCGTTTTGATTTTCGTTCAGAAGATCCTTGGTGCACCCCGACTCCAATCGCGATCCACCCCATCCGTGCACCAAATCACGGGACTCACCAGGATTTCCACGGCATTTAGTTCTCTGGCTGGATTCTTTATCACTGAAACACATTCTAAAGGTCATGATGATTCCCAAGACATGTAAAAAAACTATCACGATGTTTTCCCTTTGTTCTTTTGAACGGTTTTTTCCTGGGAGGGCCTATCCCTCCTATCCCTCTGTCCCTCCGCGGGTTGGCTCCGCACCGTGCTGCAGCACCAGCTCAGGCTGGTGGATCTTGTGCGTCCTTGCCCGATCATGCGCGACAAAGGAGGCACAACACCATGTCATGGCAAAAACAATCAGATGATGGTTCTAGTGGTTACTATCGGAATTCTCATTATATCTTATTGTCACAATCAATCATGTTACCTTTACACTAAAACTGGGGTTTTGCCACTGGAAGACAGAGGATTGGAGATTCTTGAAAAAAAGGGTCTTTTGGGTGGAGGATTTGCTCTCTCTCTCTCTCTCTTCCGAGTGCCGCGATCACCGACATGACCTCCTCACGACCAGTTCCCGAAGTTCACCGTGGAAGGAGATCTGTTGATACACACAGGCAACTAGCAATGTTTGCTTTGACTGGAATGGAAGTCTTTGCATCCTCATCAGCACTTCAGGAAACCCTAGTTGGGTTCACACATGTTCACACCGTCGCTGGGTCGGGTTTTTGTTGCTTCGGAATCATCTTCCAAGGCTCCGCATGAATTGCAGCAGCTCAACTGCCTCGGAAGCGGACATCAACACGAGCTTTGCAATGGCAACTAGGAGCAAAGGGCATCGCTGCTAGGAGCAAGAACGCTACTAGGGCTCCTGGCCTTACTACTAGGAGCAAGAAGCTACTAGGGGCTCCTAGTAGCTAAGGCTGGGAAAGCTGATTTCTGGCGCCCCAAAATCATCCGGAGTCCCAGCCTCACGAGCCATATCGCCACACGACGACATCCGCTTGCACGACGACACCGAATCCAAATAGTGCCTTGCTTTGTACCCTCAACCCTTGTTCAACACACTACCTCACACTCCTAGGTCGCCTTTTCGAGTGTTTAGAACTGAATCGACAGGAACTAAATCAACAGAAGTGTGAGCTATCCTGCGTCCGTCGCGGACTTGGATCTCCAGCGGATCGAGAGTACACGCTTAGTCCGTAGCCACCCTAGAGAGTCCCCACAAATGCCGCTTTTGGCATCTGGGCACCCTATGAGAGCCTCTGAGCAATTGAAGCTTCCAACAACGGGAGGGGACACCCGGTGTGTAGGCCCAGAGTGGGCTTTTCAGCTCCGAGTCTCCGCAGAGCCACCGGTTTGTGCTTGGGCCACGAGGGCATCGTACCTCGCGCCGTTCCGGCGTCACGCGTTGCACACGCGCCGTTCCGGTGGCACCGCAGTGTTCTTCGATCGGAAGAACAGGGATTAGACCCTCAGAATTGACCGGTGGAAGGCCATTTTCCTCAACCCAGTGGTTTGGGGGTTCAAAAGCGGGGGATCGAAGATGGGAATCGAAGTCGACCCATGTTCGGAACCCAAAGCAGACTAGCCCCCTTCATCGAAGTGACACCAAAGCAAAATTGACAGGCTACAGGGCCAAGTGATCGAGCTCTACTTTTGCGATCTGCCCATAACTGCGATTAGACATGTCAGTGGATGCACAACAAGTGATAACATGCAATAAACGTTCGGTATATCCGATACTATCCCATTATCGTGCAGTAATACTGGACGACGACGATGATGATGATGATGATGATGATGATGAAGATGAAGATGATGATGATGATGATGATGATGATGATGATGATGATGATGATGATGATGATGATTCGGTTGGTAATGGCCTTTCTCAAACATGATAATCTTTTGCCGATTGCTACTGGTGCACTGGGACACCCCTTAGATAAAGCTTGATGAACCAATGTGAAGCTCGGATGAAGTGCCACGGCACAACAAAAAGAACACGTGAGCTGGGCTCTCCCACTCACCCGGCTCCATCAAACCCGACGCGGGGGCCGGTTGCCACGCGGTCCGTGGTCGCGCGTCTTTTTTGCTTTTTCTGGAGCCTGAAAAGGCTCTGCGCCATCGGGGTTCAGCAGGGTCTTCGGATTGCCAAGTCCCCAAGTCGCCGATTCTGGGCAAGAACGCTGAGCATCGAAGCCTGAGTTGTAAGAATTTGGTTCCACACTACATCCATCGTTTTTCTCAGTGAGAGCATCATAAGTACATGGTGTGGAATGAGATCCCTCGATCACTGCCTGGCACCATCTCCTGGCTGGAGTGGAAGGGCGCATGTCCAAAGTCCAAATATTTCGTTCGCAATCATGCGAGATGTGTGGCACGTCCTCAAGGAAGCTGATCTAAGTCCCATCAGGACATGTTCAAACCCCAAAAGATCGTCTCCACCTGAAGAGTGGTAGTTGGAACATGTTTGGAAAGGTGAACTGCTGACTTGCAGCTGGACATGAGATTGTTCTCCTTCACAGCTCGCTGCGTATTCCATGGAACGAAGAATTCGACGGGATGTGTACTCTTTTCGCTTCAGAAAACCGCTGCCGGGGTCCGGGGTTGGATTTAAAAACCCAGAGGCCAGGAGCCCGCTCCTAGTAGCGATTGCAGGCATGCATAAAGACTTTTCTTCTCACGGAACCTGTGAACGCTCGCGCTTTTTGGACGATGATCAACGCTCTCTTCAAGTTCCGACGGGCGCTCTCTTCAACGCAACAGCGAACAGCTCGGCCACACCGATGATGGTCTTGGTGAAGCGCCGGGAATCACCTCGAAAGATGTCGATGTGGAGAAACGACATCCCTTTGTATGGCGACAACAAACAACATACATGTCAAGTGGTATTCGAAACATCATTTGCTTTAGGAAAGCAATCTACTTGGCAGGCCTTTCTCCATCTTCAGCTGCTGCAACACTTTCTGTGGCTCATGCCTGTGCAGAATTTCGAGAGGAGAACAGAAGTCAGTACTAGGCCTTCTCCGACTCAGAGATGCCCAGAGTCATCACCTTCTCTGACTCAGAGAAAGCGGAGCAAAGGTTTCTTCCGGTGAGGTTTATGAAGTATTGGTGAAGAAACGATAACAGGAAGAGATCTCGGGAACATAGATACGACATTTAGGGGGAGATCCTTCACTTCGAGACAAGCTTGACTGACAAGTCAGGAAAGTTTCCCCTAAAATTCTAAGAACCAAATCATTAGTGCAAGTGCTATCCTGCGTCCTACCTAGAAGCTTAGGTAGCTAGTAGCTTACTTCTCCCTTACTTAATTGATTAAGTAGGAGCGGGCAACACATTTAAAACAGCACATCCTTCTTACTTGGCTGAAGCTTTTGGCCCTCCGACTCACCAACGAGTGCCAGCGAACATGGCGGTGGCCTTGCACGAAGACTCACCACATCTGACGCAATACGAACAGGTTTTAATGAGTTAGAACAGGTTCTTCTTTCCGTTCTGTGTTTTCCTCTTTCTTTCTGTCTGTCTGTCTGTCTGTCTTTCTTTCTTTCTCTCTCTCTCTCCCCTTCCTTGCTTCATTGTTCTTTGCTTAGACCTTTCAGAGCTTTCTCTTGTCCTTCTTTCTTCCTCTGACATATCATATCCCTATCTTGGCAACAAGTGTATCTCTCCACTTGAGTCATGCAGACCTGTTGTGGAGCTGATCTCAGCATGTGCCAATCTTGGTCTCCGACAAGGACTTCAGGCTCGCTGGGATCTGCTGAGACGCAACGTACTCAAACCTTGACATCCAAGCGGCAAAATGTGTTTTTCTTTGATTTTGTCCTTCCAAACCCACTTGCATCACACATGATCATTGAATACCACGCATTGTGTTGGCGCCAGTCATGTCCGTCTGAGTGTTCTGCGGACCGACCAACAAAGTCCGATACACCTCGAGGGCGGATCTTCGGATCTCAAGATCTGCACATGGCCATACGGATCAAGTGTCACTAGATGCCACCTAGTCACAAAACTGAATTGCTTCTTTGACCTCTTTGATCTCATTCCCACAAAGACTGAAGTTGACATCAGCGTCATCGTCGCATATCGGTGTGTGGTATCGAACGCAAATGCTGCAACTGATTTGGTGCAGCTTTCCCGCCTCCGCCACCGTTGGCACAACCTGCCATGTTGGTCACTCATGGTCACTCTCTCAAGAGCGAAATAGCCTCCAACCTACTCATGTGCCACCCTTAAGCTGTGATAGAAAAGGGTTGCTACAGAAAAGAACGAAAGAACCAACGAAGGTCAGCAGCTTCCAGCCGTTTCGTTCGCAGCCCTTCCCCTCCCAAACGACCTCTCCGCGGCTGGGATTGTTCGGAGCCTGGGTGGGAGATGGAGCATCTCTCCAAACGGAGAGCATTCGGAGCATACGCTCATTGATGTTCGTAAAAGGTTCTGCTGCCCGGTCACAAATGGAGTTTGGCATGACAAGTCGTGCAGTAATTAAAGCGTTTTGCAACGAACTCTTGCTGCCTACGAGAATAGGGATTGGTTTGGCATGGCTTGACACCTGCATATCGGCGTATGTCCCAGGAGGACTTGCTGCCGAATGTTTCCGTCACAGGAGGACTTGGCCGGACTCCTAAATCATCAAGCCAGACTTCGTCGATTCCAAGGGTGCCCTGCAGACACCACCAGAAGCATGGAAAGGCTATGGATAAGGCGAGGCCTCAGGTGGATGCATGTTTCCGGGTCAGGTTGGTGCTGAAGCTTAAAGGATTGAGGTGTCTGAGGCGGATTGGATTTGGTTTTTGATCTCACTCTCAAGGCCTTGGAATCCACAAGGCCTGTCAACGTGTAGCCTTCAAACGAAGGTAAAAGAACATTCGGACTTCCCGAACAAAAACATCTAGGAACCCGATTCATTAAGGTTTGGGCTTCTTTAAGGAAGCCTTAGCAGCTGCCCCTTTTCTTGTTGGCTTACTTAAGCCCACCCTACAGCCTACCCTCAACCCCCAGCTAGCCTAAAGTACACACACACACACACTGACCTTTTTCAAGCATGCCCGTTTCTCGCATGTCGGTGAGAAATCTCCATGGCGTTTCTTTTTTTTCATGGATGGTTGGAGGCCATCGCAGCAGGATGGAGGCCATCGCCACTAGGATGGTTGGCATCGCTATTGGGGGCTTTTTCTTCAAGTACTTTTTCAGGTTTAGTACTCTTTGAACGGCGACAGTGTCGCTCTCCAGTGAGCTCGGGGACCGCCTGTGTAAGAGGGCCTGGCCTTAATAAAGGTCCCCCCAGAAAAGAATTATATTAAAGACACCCTTTCCTAGTACCTGGTGCTTTTAATCTTTTCTTCTTCAGAAATTCAATGCCTCCGAGCTCCCCAACAAGGCTGTGCCTCTTGGCAAGAGCCGTTCCACCATGATTCCCTGATGGAACGTGCAAGGTGGTTTGGTCTTTGGTCGAATTTTACCAAATCCACGCTTCTGATGGTGATTGGAGCAACAGCTCAACAATCTGGTATGGCAAAAAGAAAGACGGTCTAAAAGTGTGAACATGCTTGAAAGAAAAACATGCCAGGAAGACAACACAATTATCAATACCAAAAAAAAACAAACAAACTGGGAAAAGAAAAATACCAACGCTTAAAGAACAAAAAAGGGCACATATCAAGAAACAACCACCACACATCAAGACAGCCAAAAACACTGGATAGCCCAAGCTATCTGGCCTACTCGACCTTATTTTTTTCGTGTTCACCGTGACGACGAACGACGTTCCCGCTGCTGCCTGTGCTTGCTTTTGGAGTTCCAAAAGCTCTGGAGCCATGTCCCCTTTCGATGTCTCGGGATCGCCCCAAAGCAGCACATTGCGAAGAAACCTGGGAGCCAGCTGAGCCAGCTGAGGCTTTGGAGCCATGTTCGTCCAAAAAAAGGGTGGTGAAGGATGGACTGAACAAACAGGTTATGGTCAAAGGTGTTTAAAGGGATTCCGGATGAAAGGAATGAAAGATGGGAAAAAGGAGAGGCATTGCATATCATTCAGCATTCTTAAGGTGGCAGTTGTTTAGTACGCTTAAGTACTTGCAAGATATTAACTGACACAGAAGGACCAGGGTTCTTACAGGAAGCTCCGTCCACCTGAGGGCTTTCTTGAAGGATGTATTACATACCCACCCGGCAAAGGGTGGGCTGCCCGGTGGGCTCAGGTTTGCTGGTTCCAAAGCCTGGACAGACCTGGACAGACCTAGACAGGCTTGTTTTTGCAAAGAGAGGTCCCTGTGTCAAATACATCTGGACAGGTATATATGCACCTTGCAGCAAGCTGCCAGGTTCATCTAGAGTTTTTCAGGCAATAAAGCAGCACAAATAAAGGCATCTTGCATCCAGCACGAATGTGACTTTCTTTCGAGGCATTCAGAGGTCGTTTCGACTGCGGTGCCTCAATGTGACTTGCAACGCCGCTAAGCCAGTTTTGGACGTTCCTGAGTGCACGGCCGCAGCATGGCTGTGATGGTCCTGCGCGTTCCACGCGGACCGTGGAGTTTTCTGGTGGCTTTTTCCCACGGGCCGTGGGCATTCGACGTGGCACAAGCGAGTGCTGCTCAGAAAAATCAAGGCAAACTCTTGGCATGCAACATCGATTGGAAAGCTGCTTGATACGCTCGTGGTGGAGCTCCTCTCGTACATCGCTTGCCCCTCTTCCGTGAGGCGCGGCAGCACCTTCTGCGAAACATGCCGCGGATAGACGACTGGTCTGCTCGCGCAAAACGGACTTCGCTGCACATCGTTGACAGGTCGTTCGATCGTTGACAGACGGATCCAACTGATCCAACGTGTCCGCGTCGTCCACCCGCGTCTGGCTGCCTCGATGGTGCAGTCCAGCACTTCGGGCATCCATTGAGTCGAATTGATCGCTAGGAGTGAGAGATTCCAGTGCCTGGAGTGGCGGATGGTAGCTGCAAACAAGCTGCAACATGTTTGCGAAAGTTCCAAGCTCTTCTACCAAACAACTCCGCACCTATCTATTTGCAAATGACAATTTGAGAAACCAGAAAAGCACACACACAATATCCTTGACCATGCAGCGAGGTTGACGCACTTGCGTGGCTTCTGGACAAACAAGCACATGGATTTGCTATCATGGACCTAGCAATGGTCGATCCTTACAGCTTCGGCCATCATCTCATAGGCTGCTCCACTGATGGGAGGCCTTGGCCCAAAACATCTCATGTTTCAAAGCTTTAACACGATTTGTTCCTGCCTCTTCCGGACTTCAATACTCTTTCTTTCCTCATCTTCCTATTTCAAAGCTCGAGCCACACGTCCTGGGTCTCAGGTCTCCTGTGCTTCGCACGCAATGGCATTGGCCGCCGCATGGACACTGGTGGCCGCGGAAAGGGCCCTGGCCACTGGAGCAATGAAGAGTCCTGGGCGCTCAACTTGCAAAGAGCACAACAGTTGTTTCTTTGGACACCAGTGTGTTTCTTGTTACGTAAGACTCTGTAAGACCTGGCTGTATGGGCGGTTCTTGTGATCTAAACGCTCAGCTTGCACCAAATCCTCATTGTATTCAACCAAAACATGCTTTTGCACTGACTGCTTTGTGCAGGGTACAGCCCGAAACCTGATCCAACCGCGGTTGAGACCAATCGAACCATCTGACCGAAAGGGCCGAGAAACCTTCGTGTGCGATGTGCTCGATTGAGACCAGCTCCGATTCCCGAAACTCTATCCATGAGCCCGAAATATATCTAAACCAACACCTGTCAAACTTTGATTTCTAGTTCAACCCTTTTCTAGTTCATGTTCAGGTTGTGCGATGTCCCTCCCTTTTTCCAACCTGGGCCCCGTTCTACAAATCCTTCGTTCGTTCGCACCTGTGAGATCCACCAGGACGGCGTCCATCTGATTCTCCGCGTTGGACGCGAAGAAGCCGATGGCGGAGCGCACCAAGCCTTGCGACTCGCGACTCGCTCGGATGGAGGCACTGCGCTCGCAGACCTGTTGTGAACGAGGCGCGGTTCTGAGAATGGTTTCATTGGAAGATTTCCCATGAAATCTCTGGCAGTTCTGTTGGTTTCTTTTTCAGATGGTCCCTTTGGGCCGATGATGACATGTTCTAACCAGAACTCGTGGCTCTCAGTGGAGACGACCAGCTCAAAGCGATCAACGAAGAAGACCGGCGCCGAGCGGCTCATGTAGTAAGGCTGCGGGTGCTGCTCGCAGCCTGAGTGAACCCAGAAGACCCCCGATCGGTTCGCGATGCCCGAAATGCTCCGGACTCGCTCCGCGATGCCCGAAATGCTCCGTTCGGTTCGCGAACATTGCTCCGTTCGTAGTAAGGCCAGGAGCCCCGATCGTAGCGTCCAATCGCTCCGATCGTAGCCACAGACCCAAGGAATCCAACAAATGCGTGCAAGTGCAAATGCCCGAGTCCGACTGAGATGACTGGCATCTTGCCATGAGCTTCATCATGGGCACGAAGACTTTTGATGTAGGCGCGTACCTATGTGTGTGCCACACAGTGCAATATCGACGTACCCAGGAGAAACATGGTGAAAGGAGAAGAACATAAGAGAACTGGAGTCTTTTAGAAGGCCAGTGACTGTTCTGCTTGATTACGTTTGTCTGAAAGCATTTTTTGGAGGCAAGTGCTTCCCATGAGCATGTGTTGATCCTTCTTTAAAAGTCATAAACTTTGCTGAACCAGCTCTCCTATTGGGCTGATACTACAAGTGTAGAATCGTTTAGGTTTCTCTCCTTTGCTGAGTGAAGGGCTCCCTGGAAAATCCCAAGATGTAACCTAGGCAAGGCTCACTGGGCTCACTGTCACACAGTGCCGGCTAATTTAGCGGGGGAAGTTTCGATGTCCAGTCCTCCAGTCCATGCTCTCCACTTGCATCACATCATGGTAAAGCAGTAAAAATGCATAAAACAACAAGAAGCTACTAGTAACAAGGGCATCGCTACTAGTAGCAAGAAGCTACTAGTAAATACTCGTTTGTTCGTAGATATGACCATATAGCCGTGCCCAGGGGCTGAAAGCCAGGCAAGCTTGCTCCATCAGCTCCTGACAAAGCCAACACATATGTTCGTTGAAATCCTGGTTTGCTGAAAAGCGGAATCTCCGTTCAGAACACCAAAACTGCTCCTCGTAGTGGGTATGATGGATGCACACCTTGCAAGGTCCATCTTGAAGCAAGATATTTGAGGTCTGCAACCACTATCTGGGCGCACATATGCATACATGTATAATATAGCGATAATATATATAATATTGTATTTTAAAATATTATGTTATTTTGAATTCTTATATTACACAGACACATGAAACAAGCAAAGTTTTAAAGCACCACATTGGAAAGCAAGACATGCCAAGCACACAAAAAACAAAAGGTGACTAGCGGCTAGCACTTGCGCCGAACATCTGGCAACCCTAACACCAAGAGCACCACAGTTCAATGGATAAAAACAAGAGCTGAGCTTCAAATATATTTTGTTCTATGCATGTGCTTCGTGCACAGACACACCGTGACACAAATAGTTGGAACTGGGCAAAACACAGCACCAATCCGGCACTCGATCTGCGACTTGCGATGACGGAACAGCGCAAGTCGAGCCCATCGGAAGTCGCAAAAACAGTGGAACTTCCAGTCCCAAAGAGGTCAAGGTATGAAACAGACTTTAAGAATTAAGACAAAAAACACATTTAAGGAACCTAATAGCGATGGCCTCCAACCTAGGTCTGCATATAGAAGTTCAACCCTGCAGTTGGTCCCAGGCCACACACATTCCGAATTCCCAGTTCGCCGCCTCGACGGTCCAGGTGTCCCGACTCGCTCAATGGTCGCGAAATGTTTCTCCACGACTCCCAAGACTGGATGATGATCTGCCGGCAGCAAGCTAGGATCCTGGATCGAGCAAGCACAGGGCCGCGGCCCCGCCGTGTGTTGTTGTTGTTGTTCTTTTTTCCGGGCCTGAGGTGGTTCTCAATCAGACGACAGGATACACATCTTGTTTAAATCGTGTATATCAATTGAAGCATGGATGTGAACAACATCCTATCACTACCCATCGCTGTATCGCGCTAAAGCTTTTCTTGAGACCGCCAGAAACCATCTCACTTAACAGTTAACAGCGGCCGTCTCTGGGTGCTCTGCCCTCGGAGGCATGTTGTACACGCTGGACACCTGGCAATGAACATAGAGCAACAGCACCGGGAGATATCGTTCCCTGTATGTCCTTTCAAAAACATCAGGATGGCTTATTCATGTCTATTTCCGCGATGCATGGTTCATGCTGAAGCCTAAAAAGCAAAACTGTTTCTCCTGTATGTTTCTCCTTGAATTGAAAGATGTAGCCAATTCTCCTGTGAAACCTAAACTGATGAAAGGAGATGTCAGTCGCACAAATGCGGTCCTCGAACCGCACAAGAACCCGACAGTTGTTCAGTGCGAAATCAGGTCCATTTCGATCCCTGCAAAACACGTCCGCATGGATGGTGTTCCCACCATGGAACACATTTTTTCACATCCATCATGCCAGTCAGTCAGCAACTGGGACATGAACACCAGTCATGAACTTCCCAGGACAGGTATCTTTGTGAGAAAACTCTCTCAGTTCCTCACTGAGGCAATGTAGAGCTTCAACTCCACCGGGGCCTTGCCATCGCGGGTGGTCTTCACCTGGCAATGTGACTAACTCGTCTCAGCTTCTTCAATGTTATGTGAACTTTGCAGCGAGGCCCGGAGATCTTCGGTGAATCGCTTGAGAATCAAGGGAGGAACAGGAAGAACATCAAAAACGGAAGCAAAACCCAGCGATCGAACGCCACAGCTGCTTAACCACCGTAAGAACCACTTAATTCAGTGTGTGCTCCAACCCGGGGCATCTCAGGCCCCGCACCGCGCGAGAGCCCAACCTTGAAGTGACCGGATGGTTTCGAAACCATCTGGAGAAACGACCCAAACCACCCAATTGAACCCATTTGGACCCATGCTTTCCAAAGTCTGGGCTTCAATTTGGAAGGGTCGTTCTTCCTTCATTTCGACAGCTACTTTGGGCGAAACATCGACTGTGTCGATATTCAAGAGAGGTAAAGAAACACCGTTCTCGATGGGGTTCTCGTTCTGGTGTCGATCGTCGTCCCTGGGCTCTTCGTGTTGCGGGCTCGGCTCGGCTGCTCAGCGCGTCACGGCTCCGATGGCAACGTGCTGAGGATCGGCTGAATGGGCCTGGTCGGATGGGTCCCCATGGACGGCCGCAACTCAAACCGTCGGATGGAAAAAACATCACCGGTGACTTGTTTGGCTGGGTTGGTATGACTATCCACTTAGTTAGGTTAGGTTTGTTTTCATAGATTGGTTGGGTAGGCTGGAAAATGCTATCCTTAGGACACATTCACTAACGTGGCAGATCATCATTCATGTCAATCTTGCTGGTCCAATTGAGGCGCCCAACACTTCCATACGTGAGACGAACATGCTGAGAGCTTGCTCCAACTCGTTCCAGTCCTGCGACGAAGAAAGCAACAGCCTTCAGTCCCAGTGTACGATCCTGAAGTGTCCAGCTTGTTAAGCCTCAACCCCCCTGCAATCGCTTTCATTCCGAGGCCATTCAACGAAGTTTCGCGCCATTCAACGTGGCAGCCGTTTCCAAGAAATTCATTAATGGAATTTCCAATGGACAATTCCAAGTTTGGTGCGAAACGTCCACAAGGGAAAAGAGTAAGACAGATCCAAACAGAAAAGAGTATATAAGAAGTATACTAATGATATGCCAAAAAAGCAACTGCGAAGAAGAAAGAAACAACGCTTCAGAACAGGTCTATATAGTCAGTTTTTTGACTTTGATAAACATTTACTTTAAACAACGGACCTGCGCAAAAGGCTGCGCGTGACGAACTGTGGCGCTCGTTCTTTGGGCGCTCTCCTGCAGCGTCGCCAGGACCTGACCGATGCCGAAGACCAGCTGCGCCCGGCAGTCCACGCTGAAGCGGCCGTCGGAGACCTGGAGACCGGAAGACGGCGCGAAGACTCGGTGCTTCGGAATGTTCACCTCACCGATGTTGCATCGTTTGGGAACTGAAATTCGGGTCACTCACAGTTCCCTCATTGTTTTGACTTGAGACTGGAGCTTTCTGAAGCTATTTCCCTTTTCCAATATGGACGAGATGGCAAGATGAGAAAGAGCGAAGGCATGCCAAGGCGTCTTTTTGATGACAACATGTCAACAAGCTGTTGTCAAACTGTTTCATCATGTTTCATCTAATGTCGAACGACAGCCGGTGTGAAACTCACATGTCTTGTCAGCAAAGCTATGCACACAAACATATGTGACAACAAGAGGATCGAATCAAAGCGAACGGTGATGGGCCGCCGCATCTGGGTTTCAGACCAAGGCAATCACAGCATTCACTGCTTCTTTCCACAGAGTGCCATTGTCTGCTGCGACAATGGTCTTCCGTGCTGCAGTCATCACCTGACAAACCACCAGAGAATGCGCTGTCAGTTGATGCCAGTTCCTAGTAGCGTCCGATCGCTCCGTTCGTATAGCGATGCTCTTTGTTCCGCTCGTAGCATCCGATCGCTCTGATCGCTCCAAGACTCACACCATCTTCATGGCATCACACGCCAATGCTTCGCAGTACTTCTTGACGTCCGGATCCTGTGCCTGGACCGGATGGTGTCCGGGCTTTTTCTGCTGTCACTTTCTTGGGATGAGCATCACCTGAGGTTGTCACGGGTTTTGCACAAGAGTCATTGGGGGTTATCGTTTCTTGTTTCCATGTCGTTTTACAGGGGATTGAGCCCAGAAAAACGGACATGCAAATACTAATTTCTTACATGGGGGTCTTTATTCTCTCTCAACTCGTCATGGAACATCAAAAAACACCCACATGCATGTCTGAGACTACAGCGGAAGTGGAGCCAGCTGACTCCCTGGTACTATTTGAAACCCAACTCATCGCCGTCTGATCAAGTGTTCGGTACACCCTGCACATATCTGCACATGCTCAACGGTTCAAAGAAACACACCCAAACAACCACTTTTTTCACCCAACCATTTATACCAGCATAGACCCCAAGCAGCGTCAACATTTTTTCCGGCGTCGGCGTCAACTCTGAAAATTCCATGTTGGCGGAAACGAATGCACATATACTTTTCTAAAGCCTCCAGCTGTTTGGGAACTGCACGCCCGGACACAGAGCTGGGCCACAGAGCGCAGCCACAGAGTTCAGGGCGCAGCCAAGACAAGGACAAGAGGAGGACAAGGACCGGACACAGAGCCGGGCCACAGAGCCCAGCCAGACAAGGACAAGAGGAGGACAAGGCCCGGGCACACAGCCAGGCCACAAAGCCCAGCCACAGAGTTCAGGGCGCGGCCAGTGAGTGTGGCCAGCTCTATTTTTCTAAGATAGAGCCCCAACAGTTACTTCTTTTAGAGGTTTTAATCCGAAATGGTGGAACTAAGAGAAACACAAGAAGAATCAAGAAGAGGTCAAACATTCAAACATTCATTTGGCGTGTCTCTTGTTGTTGAGTGTCTGACACTTGAATTCTCTTGGTTCATCAGTTCATCCTCTACGCAACGAGCTTTGCCAGTGTCTAAAACGAGCTGAAGCTCCCCGCTGTCCTGCTGCCCAGCGATTTTGCAAGCGTTGAGGTACTACTTGGACGTGCGCGAAAAGTTTGGACGTTCAACACCTTCTCACTACAAACAGCAACCTCAAAACCTAAACCAAAGCGCAATGTGCGTCGTCGCTACGCCATTTAAATATGTGGAGGGTGGCCCTGGGTTAGTTAATCCTCCCGGAGGTAGTGTATATTTCCTATTCTGTCCATATGTTTGGGGGGGACCGGCGGCTCAGCGTATTAAAATGCGCAGTTCCTTCATCGTTCACAACAAAAAACAGCAGGATTACCAAAGCGCCAAGGCCAAAGCCTCCACCCCACGCCCCTCCAGAAAGCGCAAAAAAGAACCCACTAGGCAAAAAGAAGCAGCAGGATTGCCAAAGCACAAGGCCAAAGCCCCCACATCTTGTAGCCACCCCCCTCCGCTAGGCCCTCCACATCCACATAACCCCACCAGGCTTTCACGCAGTCACCAAACCTTGCGCCTGCCAAAAAAGAAACCGAAGCCAAAGCCTAGACATGGCCTCCGCATAAGGCACTCAAGGCGTCCACGGAAGCTCCAATCCCCACAAACTCCTCCCCGCAAACAAATTGAGGCCCCCATCTAGCCAAAACCAAACCCTCCATGTAAGGCCCTCCCAGCCAAGCCCTTTGCATCACCATTCACCAACTTGCCCACATAAGCCCCAAGGATAAACTATAAGGCTTCCACACACGCACACAGTGACTAAGCTCATGAAAAACCCTCCACGTAAGGCCCTCCCGCCAAAGGCCACCCGTAAGGCCGGTCAAGGCCCCCGGATTTTTGACTGGTCTAACTTTCCCCCCTCCCCCCAACCCTCTTTGATTCTGTTGTTTATCCTGCTGTGTGACAATGGACATAGCTTTGGAGCTGCTGTGCGACCTGCTTGACCGTGGGGCTTCTCGGTTTTCTGTCTTGGGGAGGTTGCGGTTTTTGTCCTTGCCTTGATTGTTGAGCTACAAGTCAACGTGCTTTCCTATTCTGCTACTCTTACCCTTGAAATGCCAACGCGACAACAGATTGGGACTGGCTTCATTTCTCCTGCATCTCCCAGCGCCGTTTGGCCCTTGCCCCATCTTTTGGCTGCAACATATCCTATCCACTTTCAGCATGCCGCCTTGCCCTGCGGTGCTCTCTTGGCACTCTTGACCAGTTATCCGTTGCAACCATGGACGCCGCAACTGTCCAACAGGGGATCATCCAGCGATGCCTTTTTTGTGGCGTGCAGCAACATCACACGTCCTGAGACTGACTGCGTAGATTTGCTATGGTTGAAAATTGAATCCGAATGCTTGGACCCTATGGCAAAAAGAAAAGGTCAGTCTGGGGGATGATTGAACCCCCTTGCCGGTAGCGCCGCGCCGCTGCTGGGCTAAGCACACCAACGAGGACGCCCAGAAGCCAGGCGCCTGTGTGGTCCAGTCCCGTTCCCGGAAGGTGCCTTGCCCATCTTCACCAAGTCGCATTGCTGCCCGGTTGAGGCGCCCATCGTTTTCTGTGAGCTGAAGCCCTGGTGTTTTCCTCTTTTGCCAACTTGACAAGTGGCTACGGTCCACTTGTCGCCACTCAGCTTCTGACAGAGCTTCAGCTGCACTGCCAGGGGTGGCCACCAGCAAAAGCATCTTGACCAAGTGGTGGTTGTGGCTGGGCTGGCCCCATTGGCACCTCGCCCACAGGCAGTACCATTGGCGCTTTTGCAGATGGTAGCACTTCACCGACAGCCAAGGCATTTGAGACACCATACAAAGATGTTCCGCGCCACTCCAAGCGCCAGCCAGCACTCCATCGCGGAACGCTTTTGTGCGGTGAAATTCTGGTTGTTACACTGACTGGCTGGAACTGGGGGCGCTACAGCTGTGGGGTAGAACCAATTTTCCTCAGGCTTGTCAGCCGGCAACTCTGGGAGCTGCAACTGCGGGGCTAGCTCCCTCGCCACTGCCAGGTTGGGTGGCAAGTCTTCTAGCAGCTCAGCAACTGGCCTTGCTCCTTCAGCGCTGTACTGGTGCCCTCGCTCTATACCTGTTCGGACATTTTTTACTCCGCATATTTTATTGTAGTAACCGTATGTTAACCACTTAGTGTAACTCTAATGGTTTTGCCAAATAATACAAAAGCAAAAGCCAAAGCAAAAAAACGCGAAGCCCATATTGCTCCAAACTACTGCTACGGCTTCGTCGTCGTCGCCTTCAACTTCGAGCGCTGAATCAGAAGCAGTTCGAGTCCTGGGTATTCATCTCTCACGAATGATTCGATGGACGGGCTGCGCACTTTGCAGGACTTGTTGTAACTCACTAAATCCTTGAACTCGTTCACGATCTCCGACCATTGATCCTCCACCATCTCAAGCTCCCACTTTGAAGCCTTCTTCGGCGCCATTGTCACAAAATCAAGCCTAGCCAAGCTTCTTTCTATTGTGAAGTGAAGTGCAGAAAACATCATGAATGAACTGAGGTTGTTGACTGTTTGGTGGCTCTATGGGTAGGGATTGCGCGGGATTCCTCGTCGGAGTAGTTCCTCCATTCGCCGGAGAAGCGTATCTTTCATGTCGCCAGCAGGTGTTTTGAGTCCCAGCTGTACCAATCGCAGCACTTCAGCCACAAACATTTGCCCCTTAAGCCCTTTCTTAGCTCATGCAGGCATGTCCTCGAGCATGAGTGGAGCAGGGTGAACCGCAACTGCAACAGCCTCACTGTTGCGACGTTTGACAGACTGACTGTCACGTGCCACAGCGTATGAAAGTGGTTGCTTTTCAAGAATGCGCTTCCTTGGTACGAACTCACGCGACCGTTCCCCTCTCTCTCTCTCTCTCGGGATGGCCTCCAACCTGCTACATGGCTCGGTTCACCTCATGGTTTACCTCATCCATGCGCCTGTGGCACTCAGATTCAATCTGGTCTCATGGCTTGGGCCGAGTCCACCTTGTTCCCATGATAGACTGCACAATCTTCTTTTGAGTTACCACGAGCAACGGCCTCCAATCCCTCCTCTAATTCGCAATTCTTCAAATGTTTGGGAGTGCTTTGGAATATTTCAAGTTTGGCCCTGAATGGTTAGGAAGACTTTGGAATAATTCGAGTTTGGCCTGACCTTTTGGGAAGGAACAATGCGCGTTTGGACCTGAATGTTGAAGAACGTCTTCCCAAAGATGCAGTGCCAAACTTGAATTATTCCAAAGTCGTCCCAAACATTCAGCTCCGAACTTGAAAAACCCATCTCAACGCACCCTGTGCTGTGAACCCCCTGTGACCCGGCGGATCGAAGTCGACGGGTCGTGCAGCGACCGCCTGGGTCCCGTCCCCTGCCGTCCACAACACCCACGCAGCAGCGCCCCCCCAAGGCGTGGACGGGTTTCAAGGGCAAGATGGCCGGGAGGTGCTGCAGGGCCAGAAACTTCAAGATCGCCTCCGACCAACGGGACCCGTTTTGTGTCTTTTTTGGGGGGTGAGCTGCGACGGTGCGAGTGTGAATGAACTTCTTCCAATGCGATGAAGCAATTTTCCGGGTGCAAGTGGATAAAGCAACTCTCCAATCCAAGTGGAACGGCCTGTATCTCCCTCAGATCTTCCATCAACCCTTGCCAAACAGGAAGAACTCACATGATATTTTCTGAAGAAACATAGCCTCGAAATGATATGACATTCTTGTCATTCTTGTCTGCCCATGGGTCTGTGATTCATTTTTGGATGTTAGATGCCTGCGTCCGTAGGGTCTTTGGTAAAAGCACAACTTGTCTTCTTAGGCCCTACCAGATTCGGGCTTGCAGGTCAAATTCGGTTGGGTTCTTTTAACGGAAACTATTTATATACAGGATTTGGACACACTATGGATCATGTTTTGATGCAATGGACTGTCCGGGTTTGGGAGAGTTGTTTGGGGGCAAACTCCATATTTCATTCTCTTCTCTTGGCTTCCATTGCGCACACTACTTCTGGACTTGGAATTCCCTTGTGCTTTGGAGTAACTATTTGCACTTGAACACATGCAAGAGTGAGCTTTTAATTTGACTCATTTTGGGCGCAATCCTTTGGACACTGTGGATGATCTTGTGCTTTGGAGGTGCGTTTTGCCCAAGCATACACCCGCTCGCCCGAAGCCATTCCTTCAACATTTTGGGTTCGGGGGGGCGCTGAAGTGAATAACCTGAACTCTTTCTTGTTTGACTCTTGAAGAGCACCGCACATGAGCATGTCAAGAGCTACGTTGCATATTGTATAACCTTTCTTCAATCGATTGAGGAAATATACGGAAATATGATATTTACATATGTTTAGGCAGCTGTTCGGGCCGAACATCTTTCACTACGCTCCCAACGCTGTACAGCTCATGCCCATGCCTTGCAGGGACCTTCATTCAGGGCCAAGTAGCCTGCGACATGGTCGGTCGATCTGCGACCCCCCAACCAATTGCATGACCAATGCTCCAATGGCAACTCTTAACAAACCTATAGTACGTAGCGTCCTTGCTAGTAGCGATGCACCTTGCATCTTCGCCCACTCCGTCTTTTCAAGACCTGCCGTGGTCCTCGGCCGTTCCGCTCTGCCTGAGGTGAACAGCACCAGGCGCGAAGCAGCGCTCCGCAGCAGCAGAGCCTTGACGCCCTCGGTGGGGTACGGCAGCTGTGGCCTCCGCGAGGGTCATCAACACGTCGGTGGGGTCCGGGAGGGGTCCGGGAGGGGGTTGCTTTGAAAGGCTGTCGTGAAAGGCGGCGTTGTTCATGAAGAAAAGGATGTGTTTGTATTATTTTTTCTGTTTTTAAACTGTCGAACTTCGGAAAGTCGATTCGAAGTTGGCCTGGTCCCAACTTCCCCTGCAGAGAACTTCTTCCCAGCCCAAACTTCCGAGCTCCCCGGCAAAAGCTCAATGAGCCGCGGGATCACGGTATCCTGCCCTGCAGGTGCTCGTGATGCCACACCAGTCAGGACCTCCGGTGCTGCGGCACGGTGCTGTGGCACGGCATGTCACTGATTCAGTCTGGCAAGTGCGTCTGTCTTCCGTTTCTTTCGACTGAGGCAAGCACAAAGACGCATGCATCAATATCCTGAAAGCATTCGTCAAACATCCAGCTGAAAGGTCCCGTTTGCTTGCTTTCTTTTCTTCGGGTCTGTGAGGCGTCCTGCCATGGAATGGGATTCTGCTTGCAAATCTCCTGCACGTGATGCACAAAAGCAAAGTCACCCATGCTGGCATGAATGGCATGAACGCAGTCAATCGCAGTTGATTAGGTCCACTTTCCAGTGCTGTGTGGAGTTGAGGGTCAAACTATATCACCACACGAGAAAATAACATCCGACACAAAACAACACAAGAAGGATGCTTCGCCAGATCTCCAAAGGGCTCTATTCCAGACTCAATATTTCTCATGAAGTCTCATGAAAGGCTGTTCTGCTTTGAGATATCAGGCACCGTTCATGATGCTGCTAGCTGGACTAGACGGTCGCACGTACAACTACTTCCAGCCTCCAGCAATTGGCCAATATGTTCAATAATCCATCGCGGAGTAACCACCAAACAGGCCTCATGCCAAACCCCCCTCTCTTGCACAAACAGCTGATGACTTTGAAATGTAACAAAGCTGGCACCAGCAATGTTGGTAGCTTCAACAAGCCTATCTGCCGAAAACGGGTTTCCACACCGACGCAAAACTGTGAAAAGCTGAGCTAGTGACTTCTGTGATGTTGATGTTGCAAAGCTCTCGAAAACGCACAAAGTCATCCCACTCGAAGTTCACCTGGACATGTTCCAAAGCCAAGGGATGTGGTGACAATGGTGACACTGGGTGGCACTAAGCACTTTTTTGAGCATTTGAGCACTCGGTGCTGCCCTCATATGTAACATGATCGTGACACGTGCTCGTTGCACGTGCTACCCTCATGAAGCACAGCTGCGGAATGACAGGCCAATGAGCTGGTTGCGCTGCTTGCTTGATGACAATCTTTGAGCAGAATTAAAGGTGGAACTATGTGGAACTACTTGGTGCACGACCCTTATTGCGCCGTGGCGCAAAATAACCTTTGTCTTCGGCAAAATGTCAATGGCGCTGTAGCTCTGTGCACATTGCCAATTATCTGCCTTGAAATTCTACGTTCTGGAAGATAGCAAAACTCTTTGCGATTTTGAAAAGCTCATTCACCAATTCTCTATATATGTGTGCATCCCCATGCATCCCACCCCACTCAAAGTCAGTCGCACACTGATGCGTAGCATAGAAGCGTTTCTAATGCAGCGTCGCATAGAAGAGGATCTAGAGTATCTAATGTACGGGTGTGCACATACACAGAAGAACAAATATTTTCACTATTAAATAGTGAAAACAAATATTGTCATACTTCACTACATGGGACAAAAAACATGAACATCGCAAGAAAACCACACCGCGTGGCCGGGGTCGTGGTCCAACTACTTTGCAAGTATCTTTATGCATCTTTACAAGAATCTTTTGCAATGACCTGCTATTCATCTCCAGCCTCTTGCTCTGGCTCTGCGGGGTATCGTACCGCTTGCCAGTGAGCCTGCGGCCATCTTTCAGAAGTTGAGTTGCCCACGAACGATTTGTTGTGCGATTGGACGACTGTGATTTCTTTTCAAGACCTATGAAAAGAACGGACACACCGGGCCCGGTTCTATCCAATGTAGGACCATGGTATGGACGACATGCCCCGAATGCTCCGCCAATGCTCCGCCTGGACCATGGCCTGAATGTGCTGCTCAAGCTTGGGCCTTGGTCGATGCTGCGTCCCCTTGCACGGGTCTTCGCTCATTCTGCCATTCTGCCATCTGACAGGTCTTGTTTCACAGCAACGGTTCTTTTTCAGCGGATCGTAAAGGATGGCAAACGACTGAGAGGTATATCAGAATATCTTCGAATCTCATACGTCTTTTGTATCTCTATATAACAAATATAACTATGTGTATGTATACGTATAATATATACATGTATAACTATATATATATACAATATACAAAAAATATATATATATATACAACTTATATATGGGCTTATCATTGTGTGTATAGACAGCCGACATGAGCAATTTCTTGCCACACTCGGCTCGGCTTCCAACTTCTCCAGGCTTCGCCGGTGGGTTTCGGCGTCGGGGTCCCGATGGCCAGCCCAAGCCTGGATCGGTATTCCCTGGATCGGGTTCTAAGACGTGTTTTCTTCGCGTCTTGATGGTTTTTTGTTGTTTTTGGTTCAATCCGGAAGACCCAAGTTTCAGTGATCTTCCCAATTTTTTGGTAGCTTCTAGCTATTAGTAGAAATGGCCTCCAACCTAGTAGCTTCTAGCTACTAGTGTCTTGAAGAGACTTCAACAAAATTGATGATTTTGATGGATCCATCTTGATCCGAAGACTTGGAGCTTCAATTTGGCCTCGGGTTGTGCAGTGTGAATTGGTTCGTTCTGGTTGTCTCTTCCTTTGAAGTTATTCAAGTTTCCTTCTTTGACCTTGAAACCTTTTCACCTTCCTTTCTGTGTCCTTCTTTCTATTTATGTCTTTACAGCTTCATTCAGGCATAAGTGAGGCCTGTCCGCCGCCCTCCTCATCAAAGGGGTCTTCCTGGCGAGATCATCTGTGCAGCGACGAACTGCGCCATCTCGTCGCGACTGAACTTGCTCTTCTCGCGGCATCGGATCGTAACACTCAAACACTGTAGGTATGGAATATTCTTTTGATTCCTTTGCTAGTAATTACAAGTGCCTCGCTAGTAGTAACAAGTGCCTTACTAGTAGTAACAAGAAGCTACTAGAAACAAGTGCCTTACTACTAGTAACAATAAGAAGTTAATTAGAAATAGGGGTTGGTATTAAGTGGGTACCCCGGGGGTAGCGATTTTATAGTGCTAAAATGCTAGGACCAACCCCCCTCAAAAAATGGTCACTTTTTGACCCTATTAAATTGAGAAAGATATGGGACAAAAAGTAAAAATACAAGGAGTCAGCTCTATAGAATTGAGGGCCATGAGTCTGTCAAAAGCTGTGGAATGAGGATCTTGCTCTATAAAAATGTAGGTCCTGAGGTACTCCCAATAGGAGTGAAAACATGGGTCTCTATAGAATCAAGGTACAAGGTTCTGGAGAACACATGCAATTGTCCAAGAAGACATTGATTCCCCAGTTGGTAGGACCGCAAATCTATAGAGAAATAAGAGGGGGTCATGGACAGGTAAGGGTCTGTGATTTTATAGTGTCCAAAGGTCGTCCCCAAGTCATCCACTTCTCTATAGAATTGCAATCCCTGACATGCAAACCCATGCTAATAATTCTCTATAGAATCAATATGCCCGAGGCACCAAGATCCATTACACCATCACTTCAACACCTCTATAGAATCGAGCTTGTACAAAACAACAATTCTCTCTATATAATCGAGAAACTTCCAGGTTGGTACTAGTTACAAGCCTCCATATTGACCAACTTTCTAGGGGTCCAACCCCGCGATTTTGTAGAGGAAATTCCAACCCCTATCTTAATAGAATATATTAATATATACATTGATCCCAGGTCAACCACCCCAAATCAGGTATATCTGCCGGTCGCATGGAATGTCTGGCGACAAAACAACCGAAGAGTTCCATCCAACCCCCCTCCGTCCTCGATGGCCTCGGCGCCCAAATGCACAGCCAGGCCCTGGCGAAAGGAGGCCTCCAACCTCCTTGTTACTATAGTAGCGATGCCCTTTGCTCCTAGTAGCTTCTTGTTCCGTTCGTAGTAAGGCCAGGAGCCCCTAGTAGCCTTTAACCTAGAAGCCTGGACTCCCTTGCCTGGTACCAGAAATCCAAACCACACCGGGCCAAGTCGGTGTGTCGCCTGGTCAACTTGAAGTCAGCTGTCGTGGTTCCAGGTGTTAAGGCTGGTAAAGAATTTGGGTCGTCAGGTGTCTTCCTTTTCATATTGATTTCCTGCTGTCGCTGTTCCTCTCTGATTGTTTTGCCCCTTAATCCTCCTGACTATACAAGAATTCTGACACTTACAATGCGTCAAGGAGCTAGAGCAGACTAGCTTCATTGATTCTACGAGTGTTTCGTGCTTTTGAGTTTCGGCCAAGCCACAACCGCACAAAGTGTTGCGCCAAGGTGGAAAGGTCGTTCAACCTCGTGGCATGCTTTCGGACACCGCAGCAGTTGTCTTGTCGGTCGTTCGCATCATGGGAGCGTGGAGTGGCAAACGTCGGAAGCGAAGAAAAACAAGAACACCAAAAACAAAGAGACTTGGTTCTTGCTGCGAAAGTGCACCATGTGGGGGTAGATCCATGTGGATTGAAGACCTTGCTCCCCGATGGGACCAGCGACTTCGATGGACACTGAAACACCATCGATTGGCATCTGAATTTGCTTCACTCCTCCACTTGCCATGAGAACTGGGCACAGCAGGAAGATTGCCATCGCTGACAACCTCACAGTTTAGTCAACAGGGTTCGGGTTCGACAGCTTATGTTTCATGTTTGAGATCCAAGAAGAACAACTCATACTGAAAACAAACCCATCTACCAGAATCTACCACTTCCAAGATTCTCCCAACTCTTCATCTCAACGGTTCTGGACGATGTGTGGAGATGAAAGCTGGTGAAACCACTTCGCACCTCACGCTTCAAGACTAGAATTGAGCGATGTGACCATCTACGAACCGGTGTTTGAAGATCGATTGGAATACTTTCACCAAATTACATGCTTACAGTTCTTTGCGGTTTCATTTCGAAGCCCACACTGTTTCTCGGCATGTTTCCCGCAGTGTAAGCCCCTTGCGAACCGCACAAAGTGACCCCCAAGTTCCGCCATGAGGCGGCCGAGCACCGCCAACTGGCGAGTGTGGTGAAGTCGATCTACTTTCTGATTGTCCCACTGTATTTTGTCGTCTTTTTTCTTCTTTCCTTTAGAATTGAAGCGCATAATGTGTCCTTACTCCACCAAAAAAAATAATCCGTCGGACCAACACGTCACATTGACTTTTCAGACAAGTTGAGAAAAAAGGAAAACAACATTCGGAGGGTGCAAGAGATGGACGCAACGGCATAAACAACAGCAACGCCACTAGGGTCTCCTGGCCTTACTACTCGGAAGAAGAAGCTACTAGGAGCAAAGGGTATCGCTACGAAGGGAGCAAGAGTTTTTATCACGACGAGGCCGTCCCCGTCCAGACTGGGCCCACCATCGAGGCCAGCTCGCCATCCGATTCCATCCAGGTCACCAAGTGCACCTGAAAAGACGGCTCAATTGCGTCCCGTCTCGGCCCGTCACGGAGCTCTGTCGTCGCTCCTGAACATGACGGGCCTCTTAAGTCAAAACTGGTGTGCTATTCAAAAGGCACTCTTTACAACATCAAGAAAGAAACCAAGGAAATGTCTAAAGAACAAGTGACAAGGGATATTAAAAGAACAGTGACTTCTTACCGGAAGTTTCATCGTTTGAGCAAAACTGGTGCGTTTCTACGGCTCTCTTTACACTGCCAGGGGTCTATCACACTACTGAGACATTCACCTCTGCCATGGTAAAGACTTGACGACAGCCAGTGATGACCTCACGCGGTGGCGCAAAGGCACAAGGATTCACAAAGATGCCTTGCAGGATCATTGCAGGCACTTGTGTGATGGTCTGCATATTGAAAAACACTCAAATCATTTGCCTTGTGTGTGAAGGACTTAGTAGAACATAGTAAAACTCTAAGGTGTTCACGCCCTCAACGATCTTCAGCAGCAGTTGTGCACTTGGCCCAGTCACCTGCACTTGGCCCAGTCAGCCACATCAGTTCAGCCACTTCGTTCGGGTGGCTCCAAACAAAGGACCCAATCGCCCGACTCGCTGGAGACCGATGTGGGTCGAGGGAGCTCGGGCGTGCGCGACGATGGATCGACCGAATGCATGTTGGCTAATTCAGACAAACCCTTGATATAGGGATTGTAAAAAGGGGGAATGGGTAAAGGCTGATGAGGCTGGATCCAGGCCATGACTGAGTGTTTTGCACATGTTTGCACATGTTTGCACGCTTGCGCAGGGTGCCCTGCCCTTCTCACCCGATCCCCTCGCCGACCGTCACCGCCCTGCCCTTCCCCACCTCATTGGTCAAAGCCATCGCTTCGCTCAGGAGCTCTGCACATGTTCGGCCTCGATTTTGGGGGGCCGACGTGTTACGTTCGGTTTGCGATGCCCGAAATGCTCCGTTCGTAGCGAACAGTGCTCCTGGTAGTAAGGCCAGGAGCGCCCCTAGGCCCTAGTAGCGTTCTTGCTCCGTTCGTAGCGATGCCCGAAATGCTCCGTTCGTCGCTTCAACTTGTTTCTAGTAATGCCAGGAGCTACGAGACCCCGGGATCCAGCTGCGGTTCATCATGAAGACAACTCTGTTCAAGGGCGTTGGACCGACGAGCCGCGGTTGATGGTTGATTTCGTTTTTTCCAAGCTTCAACAGGCGAAGCTTTGAAACCCAAATATCGGGACTTCCAAACATCAATGGGCGAAAAAATGGGATGATTGAGTCGGCTTCCTGCATTTTCCGAAACCTCTGCTGCCTGTCATTCTCCCGAAAACCCTCCGGTTGGTCCAACGGAACCGCCCCGTACCGGACGACTCGGGTCGGACCGGCTCAGGTCACCGGGATGCCCCTGCAGAGCTCCAACGAGGACGCACCGGATGCGCTGATGCCGGCGATGACCTCTGAAGAGATGAGATCACCGTGATCACGGCCGTCACGATGTGGCGAAAGCTGGGAATGAATGGCTTTGCTTTGGATCTTAAAGGGAAAGAAGTAGGTGAACAATGATGAACACATCTAAAAACACCTCCTCACTAGAAGTGTACATGCTTTTTGTTCCAGGTATGTGTCATTATATGTGTCATATTTGGAATGACATGATGAGCAACTTGCCACAGGCCCAAGTCACACGCCGTTTGCGAAAACGGAAGTCAGTTCCAATGGACCCATGAGGTCTGACGTGTTCCACGGTTCCACGCCTGCGCTGCTCTAAGTATCAAGGGGTTTTCGTGCAAACCTGTGCGCAAGGCCCATACATCACTCTCAGAATCGAAGGATTTATCGTTTCAAAGTTTCATATGTGTATACATGTCATACACTGTATAAGTATATATACACATACTGCAAATACGTCATATGAGTCATATGCATCATCTACTAATTCATCTTGTCAAATTCGCCAAGCTCCAGCCACCAAGACAACAACAGGCTCAACGACTTCGCGGCCTTGACGGATCAACTGAGCTGAAAAGCGTCCGCCACTCGCTGCGGCCTTCTTTTGGGCCTTGGACAAAGGTGCCTTTCCACTTGAGTCGGCCGGCGGGATGTGTTGAGTGTTGACCGTTGATCATGCGGGAAAAGGACCAACGCACACAACAAAACAGCACAAGTGACACATGGGGGGTTTGCACTGTCAGATTTTGACACTCCACCTTTACTCTGATCGCTAGAGTCAACAGCACACCGGGTGGCAGTCTGACCCTGTCACAGGCAACACAAACCCTCCATTTGATCAGCGATGATCGCTGGTACTCTTGGTTTGCTCCAGCAAGTTAGTCTCAGCTGGAGAGAAACAAGGAAGGACAAGAAAGAAAAGGTCCAAAAACGAAGGAAAGAAAGACATGGTCCGCCTCAAAAAAGAGAAACACACACATCCGATGTGTCTTTCCTTGGTCCAACGAGAAGGTCCAACACTGTTCTTCGCGGAACCGCAGAAGGGTCGAGAGACCCTTAAGCTTGGATCAGCATGCTGAAGGTGAAGCCTCGGAGGAACACGAAGACTGAGCGAACCAGTGAAAACGCTTCATTCCTTCACGATGCCGAGTTCGGTTTGGAAGAACAAGCAGATTGGAGCGAAGAGCACGTGCTCCAAAACGTGCTCACACCGAAACATGGCGTGTTTCATGCTGTTTACTCTGTCTCCACAAAGCGGAGTGATGAAAGGGGAAAGACTTGGTTCAGTGAATGCCCCCAAACCTTCAGTCAAGCCCATCCTGAACATAGGTTGTCATGAAACCGACAGAAGGGCCACAAACAAGAAAACAAACACATGTTCTCAAAACTATCGAACACTATGAACATCTGGCTCTCCGAATCCCACACACAACACGCGACCTGGGCCTTTCTCAGGCACTGCAACAGCCGGAGGAGCACTTGCCGTTCGGCATGCTCTGCCCTCTCGTGTTCAAAGAAGATGGGATGAAGATCTACGTCGTGTGACACCGGGCCGGAACCTTTTGGTGCACTCAAGTCGCGGTCCCATCCCTGAGCAGCAGCAGCCGAGCACGCGGAGCACGCGGAGAAGGACAGGCGATGCGAAGACCAGGCCAGGACGGTTTCGGCACTGGGACGAAGAGCGAGGTCCTCTCGGTCGAGAAGCTCTCGGCACGTCTGCCGTGCCCAGGTCGTCCACATGGTGGCTACCTTGAGACCGACCAGATCGACATCAAAGCAAAGCTTCTCAAGGACACTTCCAGTGAAGGTTCTTCCAAGGCTTCCAACTTCTTTTAGAACTGCCAACTCGCCCGGCAAGGCACGCCGTGAACGCGTTCGCGCGGATCGGCTGACACCTGCGAGTGCTGAGAGGATCGGCTGACAGGCACGACGGTTGAAGGCTTGAAAGATCTGATGATCCAAAGCACCATGTTGATCCAACATCTCCAGTGCCAAGGATGCTTCTCGAACACCCCTCATTGTCTTGTCTTCATGCTTTCGCCGCAACCAAGGGGGAAGCTGCCAAGATAGCTCCCCCAACATCCATGATAAAGCTTTTGCATTGGAGTCCACTTCTCTGCACGCTTCCAGAGCCAGCCCATAAAACTGTGGTGTGATCCAGAATCCCTGCTGTTGCATCTTCTGAAGGGCCTTAGCAGCGATGAGCACATTTTCCCCTTTGGCACATGCACCGAGCATCACTCCGAAGTATGCCTGGTTTGCATGCAGGCGCTGTACGCTGGAATGTCTTAAAGAAGAAAGTGCTCTCTCCCAACGACTCACCTTCTCTAATGAAGAAGCAGCTACGTTGTGTGCGACGATGTCTAAGGCAAAGTTATCGTGCTTCGCACTCTCCAACAAGTCACAGCTCGCTTTCCATCGCATTCCCTCATGTAAAGCACCGATGGCCGAGCTACATGCGACGAGATCCAACTGAAGACTTGAGCGGATGCTACGTGTTAGGAGATGAAGTGGAAACTTCCACTCCAAGCCCTTCTCACAAGCCTTCATGGCGACACTCACCGTTACTTCATTCACTTGCAAGCTTGTGGTACCTAGCTGCAGCAAGACTTCTACGGAGGCTTCCCAAGCACTTGCCAGTTTCATCGCAGACGCACAGGTTGTGTAGGAAAAGATATCTGGGTCCCGAAAGGCTTTCCTCATCTCTGCCAGCAACTCCATGGCCAACAACCAGTGGCCTGTCCTGGAACATGCCAAAATCGCCACATTGAAAGTACGCTCACTTGGCCAATAGCCTCTCCTTCGCATGAAACTCAAGAAGTAGCGCACCTCCTCCAAGCGGCCAGCACGACTGCACGCTCCCAGTGCTGCAGTGAGAAGCTTAACACTGAGAAGCTGTTTCTCACCCTTTGCATCCAGTTGTGCCACCCAAAGACAGGCCTCCCGCCAGCGTCCTGCACTACTGCTTGCTGCCAATAACTGTTCAAGCTGAAACAAATCTGGTGACTGTGCGTCATGACGCAGGTCTTGGATCAGATCCACTGAATCTTCCCATGCATGAGTGGTTGCAAAGGCTTTAGCTACGCCTCCATAGGTGTCGTAGCGCTTTTGTTCATGTGCCAACTTCTTCAAGCGTCTGATCTGTTCAAGCTCGCCAGCCGATGCTAACGCACGGAACGTCCGAGTGGCACCAACGCGAGTGTCGGGACCCTCACGCAGAAACTGTCTCAAGGCATGCTGCCACAGCTGGCGATTGGCGTTGACCTCTAACATGGCACCCAAGCAAACGGACGTCGGCGTCATGCGTTCGGCGCGCATGGCATCGATGACCACCAACGAACTGGCCCAGGAATAACCCTGCACAAAGGATTCGGAGACGTAGCCAACAGCTCTGCTGTTGGGTTGTAGACCAGATTGCTGCATGAACTGCCAGAGGTGTAATGCTTGCTTCCAATGCTTCGCCATGGACACAGTGCAAAGCACCTTCATACAACTGTCCGTACTCACCCGTGCCACCACGTTGCCATGCAATTCCGGGGCAACACGTCCCAATGCCTGCTTTCGCAGCTCTGGTGCGATGCCCAAACGACTCAGTTCATGAAACAACGCATGTACATCGACATCCCCTGAGGTCCAAGAAGCTGTGCCTCGACGCCGGCGTTCCAATGGCGTTCTCAAGCGTGGAGTTCTTGGCTCGTCGTTGAAAGGTATCTGATCTCGGCGTGGCAGCGCCATGGCACTGGGAGACGCGGCAGGCGCGGCAGCTGCGCGGCAGCGGCATCAACGAACGGTGGCACCAACGGAGGAAATCAACAGAATCCCTAGACCGCTTTCAATGTTCAGTTGGTTGAATGACAACTGCCTGAATGGGGTGCAAATAATTAGAGATATAGATAGATTGATAGGTTCCACCGAGATTTCCTGGAAAACGAGGAGAGATCATCACCTCCGTCAGGGCTAGCGGAACCATCAATGGGTGAAGCTCAAGAAGGCCCAGAGTCAGCGGATTCAACCAAGTTGAGACATTTTACTGCTTTCATCCGTTTCCAAGGGCAGAGTGGCCATTGGATTTTGTTTACCGCTTCAGCGGGTCGCAGCTACTTGGAGGCCCAGGATTTCTGTGGCAGCAGAACATCGCTACTAGGAGCAAAGGGCATCGCTACTAGGAACAAGGAAGCTACTACCAAGAAGCACACCAACTTAATACTGTAGGCAGTTTGATGGACATCTGTTCCACGTGTCTGCTTGGGCACCGGATGTGTCCGCTTGGTGCCGTTCTGAATGCTTGAAACAAGAGATTTTCCAGTAGAGAGAATTCATCTTTTTGTACTTCATTGAATAAAATTATTCTTTTTACTATACTAGTAAGGCACTTGTTACTAGTAGCGTGGCACTTGTTACTAGTAGCTTCCTACCCCCCCCGCGCGCGCGCGAAAAGGTCCTAGTAGATTCCTTTGCTAGTAACTACAATGTTAAATAAATTCTTATTGTTACTAGTAGTAAGGCACTTGTTACTAGTAGCGTCCCACGTGTTACTAGTAGCTTCCTACCCCCCCCCCGGCGCGCGCGAAAAGGTCCTAGTAGATTCCTTTGCTAGTAATTACAATCTATTTTAATTAAATTCTTATTGTTACTGCGCGCGAAAAAGTCCTAGTAGATTCCTTTGCTAGTAATTAAAATTCTAGTTAAATTCTTATTGTTACTAGTAGTAAGGCACTTGTTACTAGTAGCGTGGCACTTGTTTCTAGTAGCTTCCTACCCCCCCCCGCGCGCGCAAAAAGGTCCTAGTAGATTCCTTTGCTAGTAATTACATTTTTTTCACTTTTTTCTTGTTACTAGGCACTTGTTACTAGTAGCGTGGCACTTGTTACTGGTAGCTTCCTACCCCCCCCGTGCGCGCGCGCGCGAAAAGGTCCTAGTAGATTCCTTTGCTAGTAATTACAATGTTAATTAAATTCTTATTGTTACTAGTAGTAAGGCACTTGTTACTAGTAGCGTGGCACTTGTTACTAGTAGCGTCCCACGTGTTACTAGTAGCTTCCTACCCCCCCCCGCGCGCGCGCGCGAAAAGGTCCTAGTAGATTCCTTTGCTAGTAACTACAATGTTAAATAAATTCTTATTGTTACTAGTAGTAAGACACTTGTTACTAGTAGCGTGGCACTTGTTGCTAGTAGCATGGTTCGTTCCTGAGGGTAAACCCTAAATGGTTTCACCACCGATTTCCTTCGCTGTCCAAAACATGGGTCCCCCAGCCATCTGGCGCAGGCGCGGACCGCCGGAATCGCTGTGGCCTTCAGACTCGGGCCCATCAAACTGCCTACAGTCTCAAGTTGGTGTGCTTCTTGTTCCTAGTAGCGTCAGTAGCGATGCCAGGAGCCCCTAGTAGCTTCTTGTCCCTAGTAGACTGTGCCTCCACATCCGTAAGGAAACTCTGAGTTGATTGCTAGTTGATCTTGGGAGAACTGGAAGTGAATCACGAAAGGATCTACAACCACTTCCCCTTGGAATCGGATCACAGTGGAACTGATTCCACGCCGAAACGGGTGGAACGTTCAAGTGGGGAAGGAGAGGTCGACTTAGTAAAAAGCCAAACTCTGGAGAACAAATTGTTCTAGTAACAAGAAGCTACTAGGAGCAAAGGGCATCGCTACTAGTAACAAGAAGCTACTAGTAGCTGGCATTACTACTATAGTAGCATTCTTGCTATTAGGCGCAAGAAGCTGATAGGGGGCTCCGACTCTGGAGAACAAAGTGTTCTAGCAAACGTTTGTCCCCGTTTAGTTTTCAAGACCACGTGACTATCATATGATCATATGATATGATCATATGCATTCGGGTCTTTTGTGCAAGTCTGTTGAGTTCTTTCATACTAGGTGCACAATGAAGCTGAACAAGAAGGTCTGGAGAAGGAGATCAACCAACAAACCCCGGCCTCACTGGCTTGTGCCGCCTTGCATAGTGCTTCGAGCACCATGCTACTATGGATCAGCCTTGGTACATGCGAAGTGTAGAAACAACACCCGGAAACAGTGACCCTCATTAACAGCATGGCCCCGGAAGTTTCCGCTCTGCCTCTGGGGTTCCTGCATGCTGGCAGCAAACGAGGCACGCCTCTCAGCGCCAACCATGACCTCCGTGGTCAACTTTGACCATGAAAAGCGAATGACGGTGGCGACACCGACACCTGCTAGACACCAAGCGAGATCTACCAATGAGTGAAACAAAAGCACAAGTGGTGTTGGTTGGGGGACATGTTTTTCCCAATATGACTAGGGATTCCGGTCCGGCGGACGCTCCGGTGTTTCCCCTGGTCCAGCTCGTGGTCCTTGCCTTTCGGTTGGCTGCCTCCTCGGGAATCGCGGCGAGCAGCTCCAATAAGCAGATCCTCAAGCGATTGGAGGGGTTCTCGAACCCCTTGAAGTGTCAAAGCTCTATCCCATGACAGTGAAAGAAACAATGGCGGCTGGGCACTGGAATTCGTCACCAACTAAGACTATTTCAGGACTCGCCTGGTTTCATGATTCTGTTGGACCCTTTCAATTTAACAAGCGATGTCTGGCGGGATGTGAAGCAAAAGGGATGTCAAAGGGCTTCTCCCGAACTTCTGAGTCAAGATCCATCAGTCGCCGTCCCCTCCCTCAGACAAGGCAGCTGCATCGCTTCAGTGTCTGAGAGCTGGCCGAGGGTGTCTGTCAGCCACTGAGTGTCCTGTGATGGCTTTCTCTGTCACAGCTTTTTAGGCTAGAGAGGATCCAATTTGTAAACCTCATCAGCGAGGCTACTTCACTTAAGCCAAAACACAATCTCTTTCTACACTAAAGGACGCTACTAGGGGCTCCTGACAACGCTACTAGGAGCAGCAAACGCTACTAGGGGCTCCTGGCCGTACTACTAGGAACAAGGACGCTAC